CAGTGAGTAAACCAGCAGAGGAAGACCTGAGAGTGCGAGTTGGTTTGTAGGGAGTAAGTAGATCAGAGAGGTAAGAAGGAGCAGGGTTATGTACAGCTCTGTATGTGAGGAGAAGAATTTTGAATTGTATGTGGTATTTACAGGAAGCCAGTGGAGATGTTGCAGGATGGGTGCATTGAGTGCATGTAATGTAATAGCTCGCCTGGGACTACTGTACCACTCTGCTCTCACTGGAATAGTGATATGTTCCTATACGTCATCACTTTCCACTTTTCTCCAGAGATTTTCTAATGCAGGGGAGGTTTCTGTTCTCTCCCTCTCTGGTGGAAGAACACAGTAACTGAAGCTGGCTTTGAAGTGACATCAGTTTGTGTTCTTATGGTAGAACCAGCCAACTGTACCGAACACTTCTTAGTAGAAAGAAAAGCAACAGGGTGGGCTATTTTTAATCAAACTGACGCAAAATAGGAATATTTTGCATTTTTAAATGTTAATGTAAAAAGTATTACTTAAATTGTTGAAGCTTACTACAGCTATTCAAAACAATGTACAAGTTAGCAACTCTGATGCCACATTATTCCAGATAGTGAGCATATATCGGTCCACTGGCTTCATAAGGTCAGCACCCTGCTGACTGTTTGCCACTGTTGGTCCACCCTCGGACCACCCAGATTACTGTCCTGCTTACAAGCTCTAACTAGTTTTTAACCTCCCCACACAGATTTAAAATGCATAGAGACTTTTATTTTAGAAAATAAGCTTATAAAATAATGACTAGGCCTGATGTAAAATGATTTTATAGAAAATGCTGTTGCTGACATTGTGCTAATTTATGAAGTATAACTAAAGAAGGAAGGAAAAATCAGTAAATTGGGCTGTGAGTGGAAAATGAGTGATGATAAGTGGGATTTTGTCTATTACTCTGCTTAACCACCGGTGCCCCGCCCGGAAAACGCTAAGCAAAACGCCAGTGGACCGTTAGGTTTGCCATCAGCGGGCCAACAGTGGTCCACTATCCTCTTGCTATTAGGGATGTTTCTGTTTTCTTCTCGGTTTGGAGCCCCCGCCCTCCATTTCAATACTGGTTTTAGCATGGAGTTGGTGAGTGTATGTTACATGAAGGTTACACAGGTGGCCACTTGCCCTTTCGTGAATTTGTGTATAACTACCATGAAATTTGTGAACGACTGCCCTGCCGTTTCCCTCTGTTGCTTACTGCCCTTCATTTGCTAACTAGCAAGCTAGCAGTGTAAAGTCAAAAAGTTCCTTCAGCTATCATGTATAACAGCACTGGCTGCCATTTTCCCCCCGTTTGAAAAGAAAATGGGAGTCAGATTGCAGTGCTTTCTGATTTGGATCAACTGCTTAAGTCTGTATTTAGACTCGACCCCTCCTAGGGTCACCTAACAAACTTCATTTGAGCTAGCAATGGCCCTTAAAATAGCACTGGGCATTCAGTCAAAGGGAAATAGTGAGTCTAAGTCAATGGAGGCATGTTACAAACAGTGTTGAACGCTGGGGGGGGGGCTGGTGTCAAATGTGACATCAGTATTGCACAGCCAGCCTGTATCATGTTTTATATTGCCATGATATTGCGATATAGATTAGCTATGCAAGGCCAGGAAATGTGACGCCTAATTTAAGTGGTCTGGTTTTTAGTAGACATTCAGATCTGATTGATCTTTGTCTTCTATATTTTATACAGACCACAGGGTGAAACCCACCCCCGCCACTCCCACCCGCTCCAAAAAGGACCTTGATTTCAACCCCTCCACTGGTCAACCCAAAGTCATGCCCTTACAGAAACAAGCCATTTGTCTTGGTAGACTCTTGGGCAAAAGACTAATACTAGGGCTGGGCTATATGACAATACTTATCAGTATTGTGATAAATTATTTGACAGTATGTCACAATATGCTTTTTTGAGTATATGTTTATCATAAGTGCTAAGAACACTGAACAACTGCATATTTCATTAAAAAGAAGCACAATTAGTCCTGAAATGTTGTGTGAAATGTTGAATAATGATTATATTCATAGTATTTTTTGACCCTGCTGGTACTTTTCTGGTCCGTTCCAACTTACCAGATGTCAGAAAAAAATATTGTGACACATTGTGTTTTGAGAAAATGTCTTGAAGTATCATGATATTATATTTTTGCCATATCACCCACCTCTACTAATAACACAAATAAGGAAATCAGCAGCCATACCAACATTTCAAACATAGATTAGAGAAAATATAAATGATGCATTGTGATGAAGTAAACAAGTCACACCCAGTGAACATGGTTGTATTGTGACATAATAAACGTCACACCCTGATCACTATCTGACATTAATAATCTGTTAGTTTTACAATGTTTAGAGAAAGAACTAACAAACCAAATGATCCAGAGTAGAGGCCTGCGAGGGACAGTTTTTTCAGTCCCGCCTCCGTCCGCTCCCGCGAGATTTCATCCCGCTCCCACCGATAATCAGAATAATTTCTCCCGCTCCCGCCCACAGCCGAAACGATTTGACCCGCTCCCGTCTGCGCACATCCAATATCTGACACAGTCTAATCACAAATACATTATCCTCTGCTGACATTACACGGCGGTCGTGGTTATCAGGCTCACTGTGAGTAACTTCACCAAACGCCCAGTAAACATAAAGCAGGAATTAAACCACAGAGCGGTTATTTTTGGTGTTTTGCTGGGCAGCTGTGGGTGTCGGACTGAAGGCTCCGCCGTCTCTCTAACGCCTGATTCACACATGCTGCCTCTGCATGGAACGCTACAGCTGGAACGCGCTGACCTTTCATACATACAGCATTTGAGCTGCGGAGCAGCGGGACAGTTATACACACATTCCTGTTTCCAGATGGATAAGTGGTCACATCAGTCACTCTCCTCCATAGAAGTATCAGTTATAAATGTACACGGTATATTTGTTTACCCTGGACAGCATTCTGCCTTCTGATTGGGAAAAAGTTTCAAGTCTGTAGATCAACTGGGAAACCTGTCTGCAGCATGTAATGTTTAACTAGCATGTCGTCATGAATTATGTAAAAAATCGCCTTTTTAAGTTTTTATATGGTCTTCTGTTTAATTTTCATTGATTTCCATGGCTTATTTCAGCGTATTTAGCTGATGTGCATGGCCGTTCAGTGTGGCGCCTGGGACTGTTTGAAAGTGCTGACCGCTTTACTGATTTTAAAAAAAAAAGGCCAAATAAAACTAAAGTGCGATAAACTGAAAGAATATTGTGGCAGCGCCTCCTGCTGTTTATCAGAGCGTCACCGCTCCACGGTTTCGGTCTCCATTTCCCAAATGCTTTAGCCAAGCGCGCTAATGTTATTCCTCCTAATAAACAGACACATGTTCAACTCTGTCTCCTCATTATTCACCAACATCACTGTAATATTTCACCACCTACATAAACACACGAAGGTAATACAAGGGACAGGGGAGATCGAGTCTGCAGCGTCTGGGGTTTTAAAACGCTGTTAGAAAACCCTCAAACCACCGTTTTATTAGTGTAGATAAATGTGACATCATTATGCTGGTTATAGTGAACTGTGCCACCTGTCACTGCATAAAACAATAGAAACAGACAGTTAAAACAGAAGTTAAGACACTTCTGGGGTTTATCTTAAAGTTAAGACAGTATTTAGGAAATGTAGTTAGGATGTTTCTGTAATACTATTTTCTAATCTGGAGTTAGGATGAGATTATGAACTTAAGAACTGTTGTTCTATAATAGCTTCTGTCCTAAGTGAAGCTGTCATAGTGATTAAGCAGATAAGATTAGATTTCAGATATAAGAAGTTTCCGTAACATGGCCCTTGGTTGCCATCATGACCACTGTGATCAATTACCCTAATCTTAACCATTTAACTGTGCAAAAAAAATTACAAAATCACTGGAATTCACCTTTTTGGTGAAAATCCATTCAAGCCCCAAGTCAGGGGTATTTAATTAAAATTCATCACGGTCCAGATAGAGAAAATCTCCTCAAGCAAAGGTTCGGAACATCATAACGTCTAACCTGCATCATGATTCAGTGCCATATACTGTTTACTGTACCCTAGTAGGTATATCAACATCTTATATAGTCAACAACTGAATGTCAAATCAAATAAAGTACAGTTCAGTCATATTTCAACAACATTTATTGTCAGTTTTCTCTTTTTAGAGAACGTCATGAGAAATAACTTCCCTCTGACTCACTTTCTTCTCCGACTGCTGTTTCTCGCCTCGTCCCTCCCTGTGTGTGCGTCCCTCACTCGAGTCTCAGAGCTCATCGTAATGCACAGATCTGATTGGCTGAGTAGCGTCACGTGATATTTACAACGCATGCGATTGGTCTGTGAGTCTCCCTGGCCGCTAAAGCTACTGTAAAGGCTAGAAAATCTATGCCGATTAAAACAGAACCACCCTGCTGAAATGAAATAATTCTCTATAGTTTATCGGTTATAGGTCCAGGTCCGCATAGGACAGCGTCTGGGTCCAGACTCGGACCGCAGTCCGCCTATTAGTGACCTCTGCCCTACGTGAAGAACTTGACGCCAAACCTTTCAAAGTTTATATAGACTGCTTGCATATATGACTTGGTGATGCAGTCCATGGTTTGGGCAGCAAATTCATGAGTGGACACTTTTGGACTTGGCAACCTTTCAAAGGGCGGCGCCCTGACAAAGCTGGGCCTAATCTAGAATTCTGCATGAGACTGCTTTGAGGACTTGGCTAAGTTCCTTTAGTGAGAGGCACAAAAAGGTCCTTGTTTTCTGCTGTGTGTGTGTGTGTGTGTGTGTGTGTGTGTGTGTGTGTGCGTGCACATCGCCTACCGATGCCACTATTCAGACTTGAGAGGAGAGCTGAATATTGATTAAGTGCTCTTCATGTCACAGACCTAAATTAAAGTAAGTTTCCTTTTAAGGGTGAAGATTATTTAACTGCTCTGCTCCTCTTCCTGAAAGCAGACGTCATGTAATGGAAAAGAACACAGCACATCAGTTTTTATGTACTCGTTATTTTTATAAGCTATGCAAAAAAACTACTTTTACATCTTTAGGCCTCGCCTAACTGTTAAATGTCAAGACAAATCAGGTGACAATATCAAGAATAAAAGTAAATAAAAAAGTTAATTGTCTAAATTAGACAAAAAATTAAAACAATATGTCCACTGTTTTGTGGATTCAGGTGCAAATCTGACTGATTATTTAGTTTGTAAGCAAATTTAATCTAAAAATATAAGCTGCTGTGAGGATCACTTTCCGTATTTATTGATGCTTTCCTTGGCCAAGGCGATGTAGGCAGTCATGGCATCGTCTTTGGACATACCTGTGGAACATAAAACAGAATAATTAAACAGTTTAGAAAGTACATGTAGCCTCAAAGAACAGGATTTCATTCTCCGATTCTGTGGAAAAAGTGATGCTCGCTTGACCATAGAGATACGGAAGCCTGGAGAGGCCATGAGCTGTTGCTATAATTTTCTGGATTGTTATTTTGAGATCACAACATAAGTACCTCGTTATTTCAAGATAACAATTCTATATAGAGCCATGAACACTCAAAGAACCCATTACATGAATAAAGAGTTCTTCACATTGATAGAGAATGTGCTGTAGATGTTCTATATAGAACCTTTTTCAAACCTTTTTTTTCCCTCTATTTTTGTCAGGACAAATTACTATAGAAGAACCCTTTTTGGTGCTACATTGAACCCTTTTCAAAGAAGGTTCTCTATAGAACCATCAACAGCACATTCTCTATCAATGTGAAGAACACTTCATTCATGTAATGGGTTCTTTGAGTGTTCATGGTTCTATATAGAACCATTTTCTTTACTAATGAACATCGTTTTTTACTGTGTAGTGTGCAACAAGTTTAGGCTGAGCAATACTGATAAAACCCTATATCATAACATATATATACAAGTATAACATGGTATCATGATGACAGATAATATTTAAGTCAGCATTAAAAAAATGAATAAATTAGTATTTATAAAGGTAACGAGTATTGAGTTAATTTGTCCCGAGTGCTGCTACTCTATGTTACAAGATACGGCTCGTCTTGAAATCATAGTAAGTTCAGTCACGTCACTCCACTGCTGCGCTCCCTTCACTGGCTTCCTGTAGCCGCACTCATCAGATTTAAAACCCTGATGCCTACAAAGCCAAAAACGGACCATCCCCTCCCTACCTGATGGCAATGGTCAAAACTCAAACTGTGTGTCGAACCCTTCGAGCTTCAAGTAGTGGAAGTGGTTGGTATAGTGTAGTGGGTAACACCTCTGCTTTCTACACTATAGACTGGGGTTCAATCCCCACCTGGGTAAGCCCCCTACACTATACCAATAAGAGTCCTTGGGCAAGACTCCTAACACTACCTTCACCTACCTGTGTAAAATGATCAGACTGCAAGTCGCTCTGGATAAGAGCATCTGCCAAATGCCATAAATGTAAATGAGTACAGCTCGGCTCGACCCGCCATCCTTCAAGACGCGTGGAAGACAAGCATCAAGACTTTTCTCTGTACTGGTGGAACGAACTCCCACTGGCTGTCCGTACAGCAGAGTCTCTTGCGGTCTTTAAACGCAGACTGAAGACACATCTCTTTATACAGCACTTAAAGGAGCACTGAGTTAAGTAATTAATTGTAATGTATTGTACTGCACTTAGCCCTGCGATGGACTGGCGCCCTTCCAGGGTGTATCCTGCCTTCCGCCCAATGACAGCTGGGATAGGCTCCAGCATCCCACCGCGACCCAAAGGGATAAGCGGTTTAGATGATGTGTGTGTGTGTGTGTGTACTGCACTTATTGAAATGTATTGTATTGCACTGCACTGTGTTTAACTCTGTTCCTTTTTCTCTGGGTATCAACGTGGACTTCTGTTTCTAGCAGTATCTGAGCTCAGGACCGGCTTTCTCTCTAACCTTTTTGTAACTAGCAAAGATAGACAAAGCACTTTTTGTAAGTCGCTCTCGATAAGAGCATCTGCTAAACACTTGCTTTTGATTGGACTGTTCACCAAAGGTATTGTATAATGTATTGGAAATGGCATCCAGAAAACAGCACTTTTATAACTTTTTGTTTAATTTACCACCTAGTAAATGGTATGCACTGCGTAGCTGTCATGTCATGGATGCTAATGGTAAAGCACACAAAATAAAATTTCAAATAATTTCTATGTTTTTTAGCCATTATCTTAATGGAAATAATGCTCATTATGTATCAAATATATCCCTAAAACTTTAACAGTATCAGGGAACACTGATACAGATGATATATGACCCAGCTCAGATTATTAAGAAGCAAAGGCAATGTGTTACAGTATTCAGTTTTCCTGCAGTATTACCTTTCCTGGAATTCCATGCATCCCACTTGGCTTTTCCCTTCAAGTCAGCCATTCCAGGTTTATCTGCATAAAACATTCACCTTTCAGCAAACAAGTTCATCATAGAATCAAAACACAGGCTTAAGTATTTAATGCTTAAGCGGCCTTACCAATGTTAACGTCCCCAACAACAGCTTGCTTATAGAGGCCATACAGGTCCAGCAGCTCCTGGTCAGTCGGCCTGGTCTTCACTTTCTTCACATCGTCTGCGTATTGCTCAAACTCCTTCTGCATTAAGAGAAGATGGTTCAGATTCTCCCGACTGCTGGAGGTCAAAAGAGTGTTTACATATACTAATATAAAAGGTTTCATTCATTCGACATTACTTAGACGTAGGAAAGGCTGATAAATCAAAAATATTATATCACGATTTTCATAACGAACGATATGCATCATGATATTTTGTATTTCTAAGATTTAATATGTTATAACAGACATAATAAACCTGTAATGCCACATATCAAAAAGGTCTACAACAACATCTATTTTTTATTCAGAGAGTGTGTTTACATACACTCAACAATCCGATCATAATCGGATGTCTGCAGTTATCCGATTATTCAAATGGTCACGTAAACACCATACTCAGATTAGGAAATCTGATAAAGAGGCTGGATTTTAGCTCAGTAATCAGATTTCTCAGTGCATGTAAACTCTTACTCTGATTTCTTTCGGATTGATTTCACAGTCTGTGCATGCATAGATGGCAGCAAAAGACTTTTGGAGCGGCGCTAAATCCAAACACGAAATAAAGGATTTAAATACTCTTCATCTTCTAGATCATGTATGTCCATATTTCAGGTAAAGTGGTGTGATGTTTTGAAAAAACTGCGACGTGAAGTTTGAGCTTTACGTTACGTTTACGTTGCGTCTTTCTTCTGTGAGTTTATTGGCTGGTTGCAACGCAGAACTCAGATTACTGTCCGACTCAGGATTGTTCCCATTATCTGATTACTCAAGTGCATGTAAACGTGTTGATCAGATTACTGACAAAATCTGATTTTCTACAGTTATCGGATTACTAAGTGCATGTAAACACACTCATTGTTTTGCACTGCACTAAATCCATTTAAACAGAACCAGTAACCATGCAGTTAGTCAGTCTTCTTTCAGTACTGATGATATTCATGATATGCTCAGAAAAGCATATTGTTACGTAATTAATCATGACACGATAAAATATCGTCATACTGCCCACCTCTATTTTGATACTTGGGCAAACAGTAAATACGTACTAAGTAAACCTTTTGAATAACGTTCCAATGATCAAAAATCATCGTAGTCGATACATTTCTACATATTTCTCCCCTCTCGATGTAAACTGGGCGGTTCTAACTTGGATAGTGCTTCCGTAATCATTCCCCTGACCAATCACAAGGCTGACGTCTCTTGCCCCGCCCACAAAGCAGCTTCAGAGACAGAAAACTTAGCGAGCTTAAGTTAACCCTGCGTTACCCAAAGCTATTGTTGCCTGTTTATTTGTTTATCCAAACTCGAACAGTGTTCGTTCATCCATCTCCACATCTGTTTGTCCATGACTTTTGTCGTCCAGTTAGTGTCAGACAAAAGCTGGATAATGATTTTAGCTCTGTATGAGTGGCAGAGCAGCCTAGCAGTATTGGACAGCGAGCTGTCAGTCAAGCTGCTCATTAGCCACGCCCACATGGTTCTCAGGTAGGGCTGATCAGTGGTTTTTAAGCCGTGTTTCATCATAATCATATACGTTTTATTCAGGTTTGCTGAATGTGTAATATAACACTCAAGTTTAGTATCACAGAAACATTTTCCTGTGTTTCCTGTGACTTTAAGTCTTCCCAGTCAAACTAATCCTTCTGGTCTTGTGAAAAGCAGCCAGTGCATATCTGACCCATTTCCTACGTGCACTTGGCCCCACTAAGCCCACTCTTAATCACTGCAACGTGGTCATTATTTCCTCCACTGTACACGACCCATTGTTCAGCTGAACGACTAGCAAACGGACGTGCATGCCGATCTGAATGCCCATTGTGCGCGCGCAATCAACCCCAATGCACGCTCAAGTTTGGCCAGTTTGGTCATCTAATACAGCCCTAGATATTAACCCTAGAGGGCTAAAACGGCATGTCGGTCCACGGCGTTGTACTATGAAGGCATTAGAATGACGTAAGGACGCAAAACCCAGCTGCTCAAACGAAAAGCTTAAATATGTGCACGAGCAGTAATGCAACCAAACAGCCACACAGAAGCCGAACGGGCCTCGGATACAAATACAGCTGCTAACAGCAGAGATTTAGCGGCGTTGGGCGAGGCGCAGATATGAAGGTCGACGGCAAAACACTCACAGAATGTCCTACAGTCGGATAAAGAGAAGAGAAGAGAAGAGAACCGACCTGCAGAGTCATGTTGTCAGGCGAGCGTGCAGGAGACTCACTGCGTCCTCTCTAAAGCAGCGCAGATCTGCTGATGAATTACAGCTTACGGTCACATCGGGCAGAGACGCAGTGTGGCGGAGCGAGCGCTGATTGGCTGAGGAAAGAGCCAATGAGCAGAGAGCACCCATTCAGCATAGAGCGCAGTGTTGAGATCACAGGAATGCCGCGCTTTAAAGGGGAATACCACCGATTTTACAATTTTTTTTGCATAATTCCGTCGTTGCGATATAACCCGAGCCATTCAGAGCGGTTTAACGTGAAGTGGCTCATTCTAGGGAAGCGTACAGACTCTGCTTTCTTTACAGTTGTGGTGATATTAACCAGGGGTCGTCATTTTATTTACTATCCCAAACCACCGGTGAACGTAGATGTGCCATGCCAACGAACCCACATGAGTTTTATTTTTAAATAAATAAAAAAAGTGGAGAATCTGAAAGAATATATTTATTTTCTTTGGGGGCTGTTTTGACTAAACAGTGCCCTGTATGTATCCCTTCACCACGCATGGATTCAAATGGATTAATAACATGTTTTAGGCCAAAACTATCACAAAACAATAGTAATGTCTCAGACATCAGGCAGCGTATTCATAACCATTTCATGTACTAACTGTATGTGAGGGAGCTTTTAGAGGCATTGAACTCTCCAGACATTTGGTTCCTATCACCACCACTGTGAAGAATTCTGACCCTCTACGTTTCTCTATAATGGAGCGTTTCACATCAAACCACTCTGAATGACTTTGTTCACATCATAACCATTAAATTAGTCAAAAAATGTGAAAAATCAGCAGAATTCACCTTTTTTGGTGAGAGTCCTCTTAGACCCTAAAGCACATGTGTCAGGCTTGAGTCCTTACAGGTCAAACCACTGCAGACTTCAGCACACTGCCTCATTAAAAACTGATTCAGCACATCAGCTAATTTGCAAGGCCTTAATGAACTGAATTCAGAGTGTTAGATGAGGGTAAACGCTGAGCTCTGCAGCACTTCGGCCCAGAAGGTCCCCAGTTTGACCTGCCATCGCCTTCAACTAGACTGCATGCATTTATGACTTGGTAATGCAGTCCAATTCAGCCATGACTGGACACTAATGGACCTGGCAACCTTCCAAAGGGTGGCAAGGCCCAATCTGCTGTTGAGGACTTGGCTATGCAGAAAATTTTCTTCCCATTTAAATGACGCACCATGTTTATATTACAGGAACTAAGTAAATGAGACAAAACAGAACACGTAAGTATTATTACGTCCAATAAAACCTTTGACCCAATTACGCCCAACAAGCACATTTACTGTGATGAGGAAAAGGTCACTGAACATGTTCTGATTGGTCTAAATTGATGTGAACTGATCTGAAATTGCGTACAGTTACAATTTAGATGAGCATTAGATAATGCCCCTTTCATTTTCTTCCTTTTATTCACACTCAAATTGAGCTTTTTATTGTTTCATTAAATTGAACAGTCTGATGTGACCAAAACATATTTAGTTTTGTTTAATATGATATTAGAAATGAAGTGATTAAAAACTCATTTTTTGCCATTTGGTTTGATCAGTGACACAAATGTCCTCACATGGCCTTAAGAAACCTCAGTAAACATATGGACAAATGGAAATATTCAGATATGGACATTCATTTGTTACAGATTAATTATATTGCCTATTGACAGACCACAGCCTACATAGAGATTTTCTTCAAATTATTTTCCTTAAAAATATTTTTTAAACAGATTTTAAATTGTGGGTCTTTTTTATGCTTTCATTGTTCAGATTTGGAATGATTTTGCTTTAAGAAGTGCACGCATTCATCAAGTCTCGTTTTGAGATACAAATAGTAGCACAACTGCTGGACAATACTGCATGACTTTATAACAGCATAGTTTCTGATAGGTAATTCTGCTGTCTCACTCTATTCCCCATGGAAGTTTATGGGAGGCACAATTTCTTAAAGGGGAATTCCACAGATGTTTCAAAATTTCAAAAAGAAGCTCAGATTTTTTTTTCACAGTGGTGGTGATAGAAACCAGGAGTTGCAAAGTCTACAACACAAATATAGCCTTTTTATTTACTATCCAAAGCCAACAGTGAACCTACAGGTATCTTATAAGTTTAAGTATGTAGTATTGATGATGGTAAAACACTGCTTGGGCAGCTTTGTAATATTCATAAAATATATATAAAAGGCTCCAAGAAGGCCGAATACTCCGACCTGCTGTTTGGTGCATAAGCACACACAACAGTCAGAGTTTTCCTCTCTGCGATTTTAATTCGCATTGAGGCGAATTCGGCCTTCTTGGAGCAAGTGGGCGGGGCTCTGGAAAGGGTCCCGCCTACAGACTCCATAGTCTTACTGGGAGACTTCAATGCTCATGTTGGCAATGACTGGGAGACCTGGAGAGGCGTGATTGGGAAGAACGGCCTGCCCGATCTAAACCCGAATGGTGAATTGTTATTGGACTTCTGTGCCAGGCATGGATTGTCCATAATGAACACCAAGTTCGAACACAAGGATGTTCATAAGTGTACATGGTACCAGAGCTCCTTGGGTCATAGGTCAATGATCGACTTTGTTGTCGTTTCATCTGACTTGGGACCATATGTTCTGGACACTCAGGTGAAGAGAGGTGCTGAGCTGTCAACCGATCACCATCTGGTGGTGAGTTGGATCAGATGGCAGGGAAGACCGATGGTCAGACCCAGTAGGCCCAAGCGAATAGTGAGGGTGTGCTGGGAACGACTGTCGGAGGCCCCTGTTTGGAAAGATTTTAACTCCCACCTCCGGGAGAGCTTTTCTCATGTCCCGGAGGAGGTAGGGGACATGGAGTCTGAATGGACCCTGTTCAAAACCTCCATTGTGGAAGCTGCCATGCGTAGCTGTGGCCAAAAGCTTGTTGGTGCCTGTCAGGGTAAGAACCCCCTGGTGGACACCGGGGGTGAGGGAGGCCATCAAGCTGAAGAAAGAGGCCTTTAGGGACTGGATGGCCCGAAGGACTCCCAACTCAGCAGATAGGTACCGACAGGCGAAAAAGGTGGAAAAAGACTTTCGGTCGGCCTCAAGGAGGTTAAGGACGACTGTCCGGCAACTCAGGAGTGGTCGGGGTGGCTGCGCCCAAGCTGTATTCGACAGGGGTGGGGAAGCTCTGACTTCAAATGAGGATATTGTAGGTTGGTGGAAGGAGCACTTTGAGGAACTCCTTAATCCGGGAGACATGCCTCCCTCACGGGAGTCAGGGCCAGAGGCTTCTGGCGTGGCAAGCTCCATTTCCCTGGTGGAGGTCACTGAGGTAGTTGGCAAGCTCTTCAGTGGCAAGGCACCGAGGGTGGATGAGATTCGTCCGGAGATGCTTAAGGCTCTGGATATTGTGGGGCTGTCGTGGCTGACACACCTCTGCAATATTGCATGGACCTCGGGAATGGTACCCTTGGACTGGCAGACCGGGGTTGTGGTCCCTATTTTTAAGAAAGGGGACCGGAGGGTGTGTGCCAACTATTGGGGTATCACACTGCTCAGCCTCCCTGGGAAAGTCTATGCCAAGGTGCTAGAAAGGAGACTTCGACTGATAGTTGAACCTCGGATTGAGGAGGAACAATGCGGATTCCGGCCGTGGAACAATGGACCAGCTTTTCACCCTCTCACAGATTGTTGAGGGGGCACGGGAATTTGCCAACCCAGTCTGTGGATTTGGAGAAGGTTTACGACCGTGTTCCCCGAGATATCTTGTGGGAGGTCCTCTGGGAGTATGGGGTGCCGGGGCTGCTACTCCGGGCCATTCAATCTCTGTACGCCCGGAGTGAGAGCTGTGTTCGTATACTCGGCATAAAGTCGGACTCTTTCAGTGTTAGCGTTGGACTCCGCCAGGGTTGTGCCCTGTCGCCACTCCTGTTCGTGATATTCATGGACAGGGTGTCAAGGCATAGCCGTGGTCAGGAGGGCATTATGTGTGGAGGCCGAATGGTGGCGACTCTGCTATTTGCAGACGGTGTTGTTCTTTTGGCTGGATCACATGGATGCCTCCAGCGCGCACTGGAGCAGTTTGCAGCTGAGTGTGAAGCGGTTGGTATGCGGATCAGCACCTCCAAGTCTGAGTCCATGGTCTTAGCCCGGAAAAGGATGGCATGCCCACTCCAGGTAAGGGGGAAAGGACTTTAAGTATCTCGGGGTCTTGTTCACGAGTGATGGGAAGAAGGATCTTGAGATTGACCGCAGGCTGGGACAGGCGGCAGCAGTAATGCGGTCGCTGTACCGGACTGTAGCGGTGAAGAGGGAGCTGACCCGTGAGGCGAAGCTCTCTGTTTACCGGTCGTTCTACATCCCGACCCTCACCTATGGTCACGAGCTGTGGGTAATGACCGAAAGAATGAGATCGCGAATACAAGTGGCGGAAATGAGCTTTCTTCGCAGGGTGGCGGGCTACACTCTATTTGATAGGGTGAGGAGCTCGGCCATCCGGGAGGAGCTCGGAGTAGAGCCGCTACTCCTCCGCATTGAGAGGAGCCAGCTGAGGTGGTTCAGGCATCTGATCTGGATGCCCCCTGGATGCCTCCCGGTGGGGGTGTACCAGGCACGGCATACCGGAATAAGACCCCGGGGTCGTCCTAGGACGTGCTGGAGGGATTATATCTCCAGGTTGGCCTGGGAGCGGCTTGGGGTCCCCGGGAATGAGCTGGAGGAAGTTGCGGGGGACAGGGTCATCTGGGATTCTCTGCTCTCCCAACTGCTACCGCGACCGTAGCTGGACTAAGCGGTTAAAGATGATGATGATGATGATATATAAAAGGCATATTTGTAACCATTTTGTGGAGGTTTTGGAAGCATTAAAGTCTTCAGACGTCTGGTTCCTATCACCAACACTGTAAACAATTCTGAGTCAGTACGTTTCTCTAAAACAGAGTATTTTACACCAAACTACTCTAAATGACTTTGTTTACATCTTAAAAGACCCATAGTGTACATTTTTTTGTAGTGCTTCCCATTACATCTACTAATGACGCTTGAGTGGTTTTATGAGCTGAAACAGTCAGTTTTTACCCTGTAACATTACTGTTTTCTATTGCCAAGTCAGGACTGGTTGACACCCCAGGCATTCCTGCTTGTACGACTTTTTCCTTAATACATGCTGGATATTACAGTGAGACAACAATGATGATAAAAACGTGAAAATGATACAAAACTGTGAATTCTGTCAAACCCATGAGACTGAGGGATATGACAGTGCACTACAGAACACTGCATAACACAGTTAATACTATGTTAAACACTACCTTTAGGCTGGAATCCACCTTTATTTCACCAGTTTCTTTTTGATATTTCTGCATAATTAAATGGTTAAACAAAGGATACAATTAGAAAAGAGGTTCTGAATGATGCTGGTGTCTATTTGATGCTGGATCAGAGCTGGTCTGAGGGCAGCCTGGCCACTTCATATTTCTCCCATTACAGCGAAAACATGAGTGCAGAATGCCAGAGGGCGCCCATGAGCAAGTCCTACCAATCAGCACTCAGCAGCAGTAATGCTAACCAATCAGCACTCAGTGGCACTAATGCCAACCAATCAGCACTCAGTAGCAGTAATGCCAACCAATCAGCACTCAGTAGCAGTAATGCTAACCAATCAGCACTCAGTAGCAGTAATGCCAACCAATCAGCATGCAGTAGCAGTAACTGCTAACCAATCATCACTCAGTAGCAGTAATGCTAACCAATCATCACTCAGTAGCAGTAATGCCAACCAATCATCACTCAGTAGCAGTAATGCTAACCAATTAGCATGCAATAGCAGTAATGCCATCCAAATAGCACGCAGTAACAGTAATGCTAACCAATCATCACTCAGTAGCAGTAATGCCAACCAATCAGCACTCAGTAGCAGTACTAATTGGTTAGCATTACTGCTACTGAGTGCTGACTGTGTGAAGTGGTTTATTGTCACTGATATCATGAAATAAGGCACATTACAAAACTCCCAAAGCGCTAAAAATAACAGTGGTGTCAAAATGTTTTTTATAGTTCTGTGTTCAGGAAATGAATGAATCCTTCTAAATAAAACACGCTTCATTTATAAACTACAGTTTTGCTGAAATGCTCCATATTAACCCATTACCTGTCTGCGTACTGTTATAGTATTCTGAGGCTGGAAGGCAGCCAGTCACAGCCGAATCCAGTGTCTGTATAAACTCTGCCTGTTCAGCCCTTTTTGAACGCAGCGTTGATGTTTTCTTCCCTACCTTACATATCCTATACCCCATAATCCTGTGTATCCACGCCGATGCGGTTAGAAATAAATAGTAGAACATATCAGCACTGACACAGTGGACAACGCTGCTTTCTAAGGCACTGACTTATGAGACAGCGCAGGCAGGAAGGCATCGAGACAGCTGCCTTCAGGTTCGGACTCAGTCATTCTCTGGTTGGACTTCGATAGCACAGTTGTGCTGAACCTAAACACTAGGTGGTGTCGTGTTTTTTAAACAGGACCATCAACTTTGTGTGGGAGAAGGGTCCAGCCGCAGACCTCCGGAGCTCCGCTCCGCTGAGGAGGCAATCAAATTGCAGAACTCCAGCTCAGCTCAGGAATAAAAAGCTTCTCAGAACAGCTAGTCATGTAAATGTGCTTCTTGGCGCCACAAAAACACAGTATACGTTATAAGAACAGAATAAAAAAATAAATACTTAATATAACACAAGATTAACACAAAAGATAAATACAAATAAAGATAAAATCCCATTTTTTAGGAAACCAGTGAAGAGCATATGGAGGAATGTGTTCACGGTGACAGTATTTTATATTGATTTTACGTTTAGATCGTCAAAAAATAACACTGAATCAGTGTTGAATCAGCATAAAATTAACGTGCACAAATAAATAATTTCTGTCGTCGGATTTCAACACTGATTTGATGCACAGGCGATGAAAAAATGAACATTGATCCAGAATAATTTTGCTATCTGGGATTGCAAAACAAGTTGGTTTTAGTAAAATAATAATATTTGATTGATGGACAGCTGTGTTTTTGAACGGTTAAAGGTAAGAGTAAAACAAGGTGAGCCTCACAGCGTTACAGACCTTTTATTTTGACAGCTAGTTGCCACGTGTGACGTCACTGTTCTGCAATTTGATTGGCTCCTTAGCGGAGCGGAGGTCCGGAGCAGAGCCGTTTATGTGGAGCTTGGCCACTTCCTATTTCCCCCCCGTTATATCAAAAACAGGACTGCTGAACAGCAGAGGGCGCCCTCGAGGGAGTCCTCAGTGAATGGGAGTGAATGGAGCTCAGTGACTAAAAACGAAAAGTTAAAATAGTTTCTAATCACTGAACCAGAACTGTCCTTTAATTTTAGAAAGTAGAAGGATGTATTTCACTAAAAAAACAAAGAAAACTCACCTGTATGTTTCCTTTTTTCTACAGCAAACGGGTTTTGGGCAGCAGGAGGCGGGCTTTACTGCCAGAGAGTGATGATTGATTGGCGAGCGGAGCAGCTCATTGGCTATTCGCGCTCACTGACGTCATGACGTACATGAGACGCCGTTTTAAACTCCTATAACTCGAGTTTAAAAGCTCTTAAAAATATAACAGCGGTGTTAAAATGTTTTATGCTGTTCTGTGTTCAGGAAATGATTGTATTCTTTTACATTAAAAATGTTTGAGCATTTATAAACTATGATTTTACTCAAATGCTCCATATCAACCCATTCATTTTGGACTCACTCGGGAGCGCCCTCTAGCATTTGAGACGCCCGGAAAACACTGTAGAGTGGACACTCTCCTCTATACATGATCTCTGGTCCGGAGGTCTGCAGCGGGAGTCAACAAAACATGGCACCGCGCGGTAACGCTCCACACGTGTGACTATTTTCAGACGAATATCTGCGCATTTTAAGTCTGATCTGAGGCAGGACTGCACGACAAAGATCAGACTCTACTGAAACCTGTTCTAAACGCAGCGTCTCATCACAAAGAAGTTACTTTAGGCAGCGGCCGGGCTAGTTTTCGTCCCTTAGCCGGTCATGCTGGGGCTGTGAGAGCAGGATGGCCGCTCCGGGGAAAGCTAAGAAGGAGAAGAAGAAGCCGATCCCGGTGAAAACGTCTCTGAACAACCCGTACAACCTCCGATGGGCGCCGTTAGAGAGAGGTCTGAAGGGATTTATACTGAAAACGCTGAGGGACAGGATAGACACTGTCGGGCTCTGGAAGAACCCGAGGAAAGCTAAGGATTTCCGCAGCAAAAGAAAAGCGAAGGAGCGAGACTCGGAGCCCGCCGAAGCCGAAAATGGACCTCAGCGGCCGGGCTGGAGCGACGAGGCCGCGCGGAGGCAGCTGGCACTCGGCATCAACGAGGTGACCAAAGGCCTGGAGAGGGACGAGCTCAGCCTGGTGCTGGTCTGCAGCTCGGCCCAGCCGGCGCACATGACCAGCCACCTTATTCCACTAAGTAAGACCAGGGCGGTGCCGGCCTGTCAGGTGCCGGAGCTGAGCGCGAGTCTCTCGGGGGTTCTGGGCGTGAGCAGCGTGCTGGCGCTGGGCTTCAGGCGGAGAACCATAGACTTCGCCGATACAGTGCGGCAGATCGCGGCTAAGGTGCCGCCGCTGCTCGTAGCCTGGATGCCCGCGGAGAGTGAACTAACCCCAGCCGGGCTGGAGGGCGAGATCCAGGGGGAAAGCTCCCATTTAGATCCAGATGAAAGTGAGGAGCAGCCCAGAGACTCGCAGTCAGATCCGGTTCAAACAGAGGACTCCTTTACAGATCCAGTTAAGGCTGAAGACGCCCAGTCAGATCAGATCGAGTCAAAAGGGCAAAAGAGAAAACTGGAGTTTTCACCGGAGGCTGACGAAGAAGATCCGAGCCTGTCGCTCCAGCCGCTTAAAGTCAAGAAAACCATCCCAAATCCTTCAAAAATCCGGAAACCCAAGAAGAAGAAGGCACTGAAGAAATGACCAATGACTTCAGTCGTTATGTAAACAGTCAATTCTAGTATTTTGATAAGAAATGTACATTTTACTGCCATTTCCTTACAGTAATTGAGGCAGGAATCATGATGTCTAAATGAAAATATAGCTTTTTAATTATTATTTCTTTGCAATCTAAAACCACCAATGAGTCTACAGGTGTCTAGAGTTTTGTTGATAACAGTAAAAGTGATAACCCTCAAAATACCTTTTCATTGGGCCCTGTTTTTCCATCCATACAACACCCTGCATTAACTTGTTTAGGCTAAAACATAATTGCAGACCTACAATGAAGCAACATATAAAGGGGAATTCCACCAACTTTTCCAAAGTTCTGAATAATTCATGTCAGCATTTAGAGTGGTTTGATGTGAAGTAGTTCACTGTAGAGAAACTTACAGACTCTGATTTCTATACAGTGGTGGTGATGGGAACCAGGAGTCTCCATGACTACAACACAAATAGAGCCATTTTATTTACTATACAAAACCACCAGTGAACCTATAAGTGTCTTCTGAGTTTTTATTTCAATGTTGTCAGAAGAAAACCTCGTATCTCCAAAATGGGAACTTTACAGGAAAAGGAAAAAACATGCTTTACTTTTAATCTAAGTCAATGGAACCAGACCCCAAAGTCATTTTGAGTTATTTCTTTCCTTCCATTCTTCATGAAATGCAACAGGCACTTTCGAAATATGTCAAAAACTGAAAAAATGGAGATAGGTTTTCTTCTGACAACAGCAAAATGCAATGTTGATGACAGTAAAATACGCATAAATCTGAAATAAGTGTTCTTTTGGGTGATATTTTGCCCTACAAAGCCCTACATGTATATCACTCTACTATGAATGGATTAAAACAGGGGTCCTCAACCTTTTCCACCTCAATGTCCAACTGTTTATTACTTGAAAACACGAAGGTCCAACTTTTCAACAGTGATGTTTGCATTATTTCTGCAGTACCCCTGCAGTATGTGACGTTATCAGTGAAGATAAAAAATCAGCAGAATATTGGTGCAACTGGACAACTGAAAGGTCAGGCAGAGTGTATTTTGTTTATAGAGGCAAAAGACAAATAAGCTGCCGTCATGCACTGTTACTGTAATTTTTGTGCGATGTTTACTGTCTGAAACCATTTTCTATTTCTTTTTTCTTAAGTCATTTTTTTCCACTGATATATATGATAAAGTTCCATCACAGGCCCACTGGCTCCGTATAGGCCAGGGGTCAGCAACATATGTCCATAACTGCTAATTGCAGACTGCTGGTCATCACAGCAACGCAGACAACAGTCTTGCCTAGCTAGTAGCGAAAAGGCAAAGAGAAAGGTTTAAGACAAACATCAATAATTTGGAGATGAATGGACTTATTTGGATTTATAAGCAATCAGTTTCCTGATATGTTTAATCTGCAACAAGAAACTGTCAGACACCAAAAGTCACGAAGCTTTAGTCAGTTTCTTGTTCGAATTTTCCCGTTCCACCTTAAATGGTGCAGCAGCTACATTCTGGAGCCTCAGGCACAATATAAGGTGGAACGGGAGAATGAGAAGCTGACTTCAGCCTTGTATGAAAACTGAACGTTAAGAGACATTTTACTAGAAACTGTTCTACTTTTGAGGAAAAGTTTCCTGCTTGAGATGTGAGAAAAGCAGCTATAGTATAATTCTCTTGAATTCTCTTGAACAGAGCATTTCTGAACAAACCACTTTGAATTCATTTGCTTACATCTTTCACTTAATTATGTAGAATTTTTTAAAAAACAGGTGGAGTTCCCCTGAAAGGCCTCAGGCACTGTATTTGCAACCTTTTTTGTGTAATAGCTTTCTGTGAGGTAGTACATGAATTGCTTCAGACATCTGGTTCTTGGGTCATTCTACAGAAACGTCCACTTTTCTATCTCTCCATAGGACTCACTGGTGTTACTGATCGTCATTGGTGTTACACATAAGAAAGGTAACACCATGAAAAATACATTTTACAAAATGGCTGCTACAGAGCATCAAACCACATGTTGTCAGTCATGGAATATCCACTAAAATATGTAATTTAATCCATTTGTATTCTATTTTTTCACAAATACCTAAGAATAAAGTCGGTCACACCAGTGACTTCAGCTAAAAGCTTCGTATGAAATCATGAGCTAAATGAGAAAATCTCTGATAACTGAAAGACACAGTGGACTCACCATGTGCTTTTCTTCATAGATCCTCAGAAAACAGGTAAAAAGAAGTCGAGTGATGTCATCAGTGTGACTTTTAATTCAAAATAAGAGATTTTTTGTTACGCAGTAACACCAGTGACACGACTCCTGGGGAACTTTCATTATATATTTTATAATATTTACTTGGCATTTGTTTTCTTTATATAATTTAAATAATATATTTCATAGTCATGTATAGATTATTGCAGTTAAAATTGCAGAAAAAAAATATGGCCACACATGACTGTGAGGACGAGCAATTTTGTGATGTTTGGAATTCTAGATAATTGATTTAAAAACCAATATTGCTAAATTGAGGCTCAAGAAGGTCTAATTGTTAAAATAAATTGTTTTATTTTAAAATGTAAATAAATTGTAACCCTAACATGTTTATAAGTGTAATATGTCTGTAAATGCTACGGACACAAAAATGGACGTTTCTGTAGAATGACCCCCTTATTAGTACCACTGTGGACAATTCTGACTTGGGTTCTCTAGAACAGGGGTTATCAACCTTTTCCACCTCAAGGCCCAAAAGAAAACAAAACTCAGCTTTTTAACTTAACAACATTTTTGGGAAATTGGGAGCACAGTGTGTCCTTACGTAACCTACATCAGAGAACATAAAATCAACAGAACGGTAGCAAATTAAGTGGAATGTTCCTACAACAGTTTCTTTTTTGCAGTGTTGCAGGTGGACAGATGAAACATCGGGGGGAGAATATTTGGTTTTTAGAGTCGAGAAGCAAAAAATTGGGACATTTTTTTCTGCCGTTTTCGCAGGCCTCGTATTAATATTGTTTACTGTTAAGTCAATTATTTTTTATTTTTATGGCAAACTGCCATTGCAGGCCCAGTATGGCCCACTGCCACCCACTCAGTATTGGCCTGAGGACCATCAGAGGGTGTTTGTGGGCCACGGCCCAGTGGTTGAGATACCCTCCTCTAGAACAACACATTTCATATCAAACCAGTCTGAATGACTATTTACATTTACCCAGTTAAATCGTACAGAAATGAGGAAAGATATGTGGAATTGCCCTTTAATCCTAGCTCAGTTAGCACAGCACACAAACCGACATTTACGCAGCTTGTTAAATGATCATTTTCCTTATTTTGTTAACAAATTTTCTTTTGAGTTTCTTTACAATCTCAGAGTTTTCCAACTTTAAGCACAAGTGTGCATTTCCCTCCGTTTGTTGTTTGCAAGAATGACGGCTGAATCGGTTATAGTTGGTTCAGATTCAGATGATTTTTATTCAATCAAATAATCCATGCTGGTATACCTTAATGTAGTTTTTAACAATTACATATCTGGGTGGCCACCGTGTTTGACATGGTGCTGGTTACAGTTTCCTTTAAGGTCATTAAACAACCTGCAATGGAGTTCAATAAAAATATTGTTTTCAGAAAGAGAAAGCTGAGCGTCATTTCAAAACTACATCTGATATTTAAAAAACGACCTCTCAAATAAGGCAAGTACTTTGGGTGTTCTCACTGTTGCGACTCAGGAATTCTTAAACCAACACATCGGGGGAGAGGGGGGAAAATAATAAATAATAATAATAATAATAATAATAATAAAAAAAAATCATGCTCATTTCATACAGCAAGCTTCAGGACCGCATACACAAACTGACATTCGCAAAGTGCCCTGGACTTCAGGAATTTAACCAAAACTTAAAGGAATACTTCAGTGTTTTTCAACCTAATCTTTATTTTTTCACATCTCTATCATACAGTCGATCACCACAGACAATTCTGACGTGTTCCCTTGTACTTAGGAAACTGAACAGAAAAGCTGCTAACTCAACATAAATAATCAACTGCCTCACTGCAATGATTTTCCACAGCTATTAGCAAGAAACCGAATGTGAACTGGGTGTGTTTGCGTCAACTGAGCCGAGGCAAATATATTTGTGAATAAAAGAAAGCAGACAACGCATTTTCAGTCACCTTATTGGTCTTAAAAACAACATAAGTCCTTCCGACTGGTGCTGTAGTAAGTCTAGAGGGCAGCGGTGAGTAAAGTTTGCTTACATGAGCTGTTTCTGTCATTACTTGGGAGCTACAAAGTGTCTAGAGCTGTGGCCACCATCCCTGGGCCTGGAGATCTAACTTCCTGTAGAGACTAATTCAAACCAGAGCCGGTTTATGAGGAGCATGGCCACTTCCTATTTCCCCCGTTATGTATCAAAAACATGACTGCAAAACAGCGGAGGGCGCCCTCGAGGGAGTCCTCAGTGAATGAGAGTAAATGGAGCTCAACGGCTAAAACGAAAAGTTAAAATAGTTTCTAATCTCTCGCCCAGAATTTTCCTTTAAATTTTAGAAAGTAGAGGGAAGTATTTCACAAAAAAAACAAGAACACTCACCTGTATGATTCCTTTTTCTACAGTAAACGGGTTTTGAGCAGCAGAAGGTGGGCTTTACTGCTAGAGAGTGATGACTGATTGGCGAGCGGAGCAGCTCATTGGCTGTTCGCACTCACAGATGTCATGAATGTACATGAGGCGCCGTTTTAAACTCCTATAACTTGAGTTTAAAAGCTCTTAAAAATATAACAGCAGTGTTAAAATGTTTTATGCTGTTCTGTGTTCAGGAAATGATTGGATTCTTTTACATAAAAAATGTTGAAGCATTTATAAACTATGATTTTGCTCAAATGCTCCATAACAAACCATTCATTTTGGACTCGCTCAGGAGCGCCCTCTAGCATTTGAGAAACCCGGAAATTCTACTCTCTACAAGTTCTCTGGTTCCAACCACAATTGGTCACACCTACTCCAGCTAATTAACTTCCTCAGAAGTTCCTGATTGGCTGGGTCAGATGCATTAGTGCAGGATCAGTAAGGGCAGCAGATGCCGGATTCTACTGTAAGGGTTTTTATTGCCTGTGGTAACCGAACAAACAAAGATTAGATTGGAAAAACACTGGATTCATTCTTCAAGGTGTGAGATTTGCTCTTTTTCTTCATTTTCTTTTGTAAGCATGATACCTGGATGTGTGCTTGTTTGAAAAGCCTGTAGACTCTTGTTACATTGATGCCAACTACGACAAGAGAAGCAGGAACACAAAGGCAGTTTCTAACCGTATAAATAGTCAGTTTTTCGGAAAAATCCCATGTAACAGTGATTTAATCAATCGTTCCATTGAGTAACAAGCAGGTCTTCTCGGCCGCACGTAACCAAAAGCGCCTGGAAAGCTGTGGCTGTGAAGATCGTCGTCAAAGAGACGACGCGCACGTGATTGTTCGACTTGTCCGTTTCTTTGTGCTTATACGAAAATTCCCAGGACGTACCAGCAAATGCCTCCTTCCTTTTACGCAGTCGGTCTGATGGATGCATGGTTTCATCGAAAACAATACTGACATAATATATAGATATAAAAGAAGACAACAAATTTAACTTAAACACAATTCTAAATATCAGAATTGCTTGAAATGAAAGACTAAACGTTGAGGAGCGAATGGAAAAAAATAAACTACGTCTGGCATAACAAACACTAAAATGCCATTACGAAACAAATTTAAAACGAGAATTCACATTCTTCTTTCTAGTTGCTTTCAGACACTCAAGACCTAAACACATAAAACAAACAAAAAAAAGTCTGAAAAATGCACATTGGAGCGTTCTGCTCCTTTAAGAACATGTTGTGCTTCAAAAATGCAATACATTCTTTCTCACATGTACCCAGCAACACCCCTTGAACCTACAGACTAACTGCAGGAACTCCTATGGAGGCAGCTCCACAGTAAAAGCCTTTGGATTTCACCCTCCCCTTGTTTCTTAGCCCCATGTAAACCACACAACACATAATAAATATCTGGCGTTAACTATACAGGATGCTAGCTCTTTCTCACACACATCACGTAATGCACCTTCGTAGAACAAACAGAAAGAAATAGGGTTTGGGGGCGGGGGCTAACCGGTCGTCCGAGAGGCGTGCGTACGCGTGTGTGCATTTTAGAAAAAGGATGTTGATAGTTTATGCATGTCTTAAATGAATTCTAAACTTGTGTATGTCTGTCTTGATACAGTATGAAGAAGTCAGTCTGAAGCTGATGGTTTTCACATTCAGGATATAGAGAAAGAAAAACCGAGAGAGAACCCTCTCGTAACCAAAACGAGACCTAAGAGAGCTGCACGATGGAACTCATTCACTTTGAATGGATTGTTGTCTTTTGTTTTTATTTATGCCGTCTACCTCCTGCGTCCTGCAAGTGTCTCAGCCACCCAGCAGTCAGTTATTGTAGCACGAGTCCAACCTGAGAGAGAGAGAGAGAGAGAGGAAAAAGAACTTTAGTATCTCAATTTAAAGTGTCGTCTTTAAAGGAACGGCTTGGGGGCATCCAGGTCTTTGATAATGTCCCTCAAACTCAATGTGGTTTAGGAGACAGTAAACTATAAAAATTAACAACACTTCACTGTGTACCCATACACTTCAGCCCTGGTTTACAGGTGTTGTGCTGAATTCTGACTCCCCTTTGTGTACATGCAATTACTATTTGCATGTACACAAACAACAAGTGTCATACACAAAGTGGAGTCGAAATTTGGCACAATACCCGTCTAGAATGGCTACCCACTGCTATTAGCTGCACAGTGATGTTTGCTCATTTTTATTCACAGTAAAGCCAGCAATATGCTTCGAACAAATTAAACAAGGTGATGTAAACATACTTAAAAAGAAGTTTCTGTATGTGCTACAAGCTCGCTTTGTGCAGTGGACTAATCACAGTGAGGTGAAGGTCTCGGAACAAACAATGTGGTAATTGGTGGCTCTGTTTTGTAAGCAGTGCTTACCACACTGCACTAACTCAAACCACAAGTCTTGTTAAAAAAGTTTTCTGTTCTGTAGTTTTCTGTACTGTTAAGTCACATTGTGTCCTAACCCACATCACAAGTCAGTGCAACTTTAAAGAAGACCTGAAGGTTTCAGTTGACAAAAGTTTTGTGGATGTATTAACAGACAAGATTTGGGTGACTATTGACTTCTAGGGTTTGTTAGCAATTTAAGCATCTTGGCACTCAGCACTAAAGAGGCAAAATCTTGACACCAAAGTGCCTTGGGTGACAGACTACATCTGGGATAAGTGGAAAATTATGTAAAGCCAGGGTTACACTACACAACTTTTACCCCAATTCTCGCCCCAATTCTCAGTCTGGCCGAGTCTGTGCTGGCCGGGTTTAATCTGCAGATGTTTGGGTCAGTCGGAGTGGACAGTTGGAGAGAGAGTAGAGTTGTGTGTGAGAGGTGCAGACCTGGATTTTTGGCTTTCCGATCGTGTTTCAGAGCAGTCTGAGTTTATCAAACATTCGATTTTTTTCGACCTGACTCTAAGTGTAAACTAGCATAAACTAATCAACGACTCGACCTGAACAGATTCCTACAACAACCAATGAAAACTGAGAGTGCGAAAGAAGAAAATACAGCAAGTAAACAAAGAAAAATGGCGAAAAGTCTCTCACATCTGGAGAGAAGTTTTTTAATGCGCTTAAGAGTTTAAGGCATAAACACATTTAAAACTCTAAAAATAACACTGATCACATTTTTAAATCCATGATCTTCACTTAAACATGTTTACCTGCTGCTTCTTTACTGTGTCGGTGCAAACGGCAGAGAAAACAGCAGCAGCAGCTCCACGTTTGTTTATTTGCGTCTCTTAGTAAAGAGAGAATCATGAGAGTTCAGTAAGCTCGGTTCGGTTCAGCAGCAGCTGAAAGTTGAGTAGTGTGTGATCCCTAATCGTTTAGTGTGTGATCCCCAATATTTCAGTCACCCCAAAAAAATCTGCAAAAACCAGTGTGATAGTCTGAGATGCCCAGTCTTTTATAATCTGTTCAGACTAACGTTGTGTAGTGAACCCTAGGCTTGAAAGGCTTAAATTAGATTTTTTGCCAAACGATTGCTTTAATAAGCACTACACCAGTCTTATGTGCAAAGGGCCAGTGTGCCTGCAGGTTTTCATTCCAACCAATAACTAATAACTAATGAAGTGTCTGGAGACTGAGACCAACTGATTAAACAAGTGGAATCAGGTGTGCTTCGGTTTCACTCAAATGACAACCTGGCCCTTTGGGACAGGACTGGTGATTTCAAGCTGTGATTCTCATGCAATCTTTTTCTTTGTTTTAAGAGATACACCACTGCAGGGCCTACAAAGCAATGCAGCAGAAAAAAATATGAATTCCTCATTAATATGACGGCTAATAGCGTCTGCAATTCTAGCAACAATAAACACATCTTACCAGGTATATTATGCCGCATTACTTTTAAAACAGTTTGGTATGCAATCGACTGCAATTTGCTACTACAACATCTATGCGCAACAGCACAAAATATCAAAGGAAAGATGACCTTACATGGCTGTCTCAATAAGGTTTGCCACACTTAGCAATTAATAACCAGAGGATGGAAATGGATCAGTTGGGCTTACTTACTTTCTCTGGGTCCATAGGAGGGCATTTCCAGTTGTAAAGGTAATACTGAAGGTTGCCATCTCCAATTCCAAACTTGAGCTTTTCCAAGAAAGTCTTATTCTCCATTAAATCCAGAGCATTAAAAACATCAAAGCCTTTCTGTAATAGAAACAAAAACATGAAAAAAGGTGTTGGACTGTTGTAAAAAGAATTACTACTTATATTAGAACAAAGAACTTGAGCAAACCGAATAAATACTGTTTATGCAATCTTAACTAATACAATTCATAGACACTGTATGTCTCCTTATGATCAGTCAATTTCGCTACATTTAGGTGGCCCCACTGCAGACACGGCTATCCTAGGGTTTCAGTCATGTGATTTTTCTGTTGTGGCCGCCATATTTGGGACTGAATTTCTGGCTTCACTGCTCTGCACGAACGTAACTGGAGGTGAAAGATGGCTAAAATTACTCTCCTTTCTTTGGAAGAGAGAAAAACGTTATCTCAACAAAGTTGATAAAATAGTCCTTATTCAGTTTCCCCCTGAACTCCTCGTCCCACTTAAACTGGCGGAAAAGCTACCAAATTTGTGTTTTCCTGACATTTATATTTATCTCATACTCAGCCCCTCTCCCTATTCTGGAGTCTCTCAAAGCAGTTAAAAGCACAGAAGCCCACCGGCTCTTCACGCCAGGGTGGGTAAAGGATCCCATGGTGTTGCATAAAGAGGAGAAAAACTCCGTCATCATAGGAGGAACGACATCAGCTAATTAACACAGATGTGATCAATGCTGGCCTTTAGATAACTTTAGCTGATGTTAACAGCCGAGAGATGAACAGTCGTCCCCCTAACGGAGCTGCAGACAGCCGGTATAACTTTACTCTCTGTTTCTGGAGATTTAAATGAGGTTTGAATGGAGAAACATAAGCGTTAAATATCAGACTGAATGTCGTGGGTCAGAAAACGACGTCGTGTTTCGACAGACGTGATTCTGTAAGTTTGCTAGTGCAGTTAGTTCAGAGTTCAGCTCCAGTCCTGAAACCCCTGCACTGCATAACTGTGGTTTCCTGGTTAAAATACCTGATATTATTAGCTAATTAATCCCTTGTTGAGTTGAACGAGGTGAACAGCAGAGAGAAACACTGAACTATACAGTGCAGCGGCTCCAAGCCTGGAGTCTGAAACACTGAATTAGAGGTCTGTGTGTCTCTCGGCTTCTGTCACGTCTTGCAGGTGAATCATTCACACAGCACAGCAAATCGTGCAGAGCTGTCGCTCCCTGATTCGGTCCTCAAAATGGTGGCGACTATTCAGTGTGACGTCACGTGAAACACGAGAACAATCTACATAGAGAAGCATAAGACAATAGAATGGGACGCTCTGACACAGCTGCACATGCAAGGTTCAAGCCCAGTTTTACATCACTATGTTGATCACTATCACTATATCACTATCAATCCTGTATCACTATGTTTTGGGTAAAGGATGCGGTATAAAGTTAGTCCACGTTCATACTTTCTAAACATGACCCAACCCTTATGAAGGTCAAATCTGTTCTATGGCATGGACATCGTACCAGTTTTGCAAGTATAAGTGCATCGTTCATCAGGTCCATCAGCGGCGTCTCTGTGTGCACATTGTAAAAGGAGTATGCTGCCTTCAGGCTCTTGTGCAGTGGATGGTGCATGACTGTGGATGGTAGGGTGTAGAAACTGGTGAAGTCAGTCAACATACCATCAGCACCCTGATGAAGAAAAGGAAAAGGGAGATGTAAGCAGAAGTAACCAGCTCTTGGACTCACTTTGCCAGAGGTTTGTACCAATGATCACTGAAACACTGCAACAACCGGATGGTCGCGTGCCAAAGACTGCGTTGGGCAGTTCACCACCATAACTGCATATTATGTATTGTTCTGCTGTTATTACATATTGTGGTGGCAAAACTCCTAAACATCACAGTGCTGCCACCGTAATCATCTGTGCATATGGGCATAGAAGGATGCCGTGTACCTCCACTACGTATGTGTCTATGATATTCTCCTGCGGTAAGAACCAATGCTGGACCTCCTCCTCTCCCATGACAGGTCGCAAGTGAAACTGACTGAGGTACTTCTGCAGCAGCGCTGTCACCTGCTTTACATCAGCAGCCACCATTGGCCTCAGCCCAGGGGTACGCGTGCTCTAGACAGAGAAACATAAAGAGCAAAAGAGCCAGTGAGAAAAGCATAAAAAACAGAGTGGGCAAATTCCTTTTTATAATCAGGGTAAAAAGCCTCAAAAAGTTGCAAAGTCCCAAAGTTCAGGTCAAACTGAGATTTCTACAGGATTAGGTTACAGGCAAAACTAATCTATTAGGATTTGGTGTTGCGACTAGTTCACCACAAACACAGATGCCATTCTTTCTACTGACAGCCCTTTCATTGGTGGCTGACATTCTTTTTGAATAAACAAGCTTTGGCCACTGCACTAGAATCATCTACCTTTTAGGTGTGCAGATAGAGGCTGCTGCACATCTGCTGATGCACAGTTTGTGTTAGCCATCTTCTAGCCCTTCATTAATGGTGACCGCAGAACAGCAGAAATATGGAACCATCAGGGGCCCCAAAGACTGAGCTGAGAATCAGTGAACTATTTAACACTGAATACTAAGATGGCCACAACTACTGGACTTTGTCAGTTACCCTCAGGACACCCGCACTGCAAGACAGATCTGAAAGGGAACAAATCTTAGTTTATCAAGCTAAATGCTAGCTACTCACCAGTAGCAGGCAGTTGCCTACTCTGCAAATGTTCACAACATAAACCTTTTGGAGCAAGATGCAGATGCTGGATTGTAAATGGTCATAGCAACTCATCTGTAAAAGTTATTTAAGTTTTGTTTAAAGGGTTTAGTATCAAGCGAAATCACTTGTGTATGTGCCAACAGACATACTACTCTACTAAATGCAGGCCTGTTCTTGTTTTTTTCCATTGTAGTACTATTTTGACATCACAAAAAAAACACCAATAAAACAACGATCTGTGGATGGCCAGTTTGCCTGTCAGTCTGGATGTCAGTCAAACGGTCCCCTTCCTGTCAAGGTAGGAGTTTCTCAGTCATACTAGCTGCATTCCAAAGCCGAGGCTGCAGCCGAGGTATGCGGGTCCTCAGTAGGACTGTTCTATGAAGACTCCTTAGTAGCCTACTGGTCACACAAATGGAACAGTCCTAATGAGGCTGTGTGGTGACGTCGCCAGAGAGGTGTGAAACTTGTGAGGGAACTGGTGAGAGAAAATGGAGTCCGATTGTGTTTGTTGCTTTTTCATTTCTTCACGGAAATGGAGATATGTATCTTATGTAGTACGATAAACTACATATATACAAATACGTGTATAAATAAACTGCCATATATATGGACGACATATGATGCATGGATGAATGTTTTTCTTAATCAGTGATTTTACACTTTATCAGGTAACAAAAAAAATAATTCAAGTATGCAAACAACTTCCAACGGCTTTATTTTTCATCATTTTCGTGGTGCTGTTTTGAAGAGAACTGTGGGTAACCGAAGGCCTGGAAGGATACATCTGATGCGTCCTTGAAATCACTCTGAATGTAGGCTGCATTTCTAGGCTGTATATGAAGGGTCCTTCACTATGGAACACCCTGTTATGACGTAGTGGCCGAGAAATGCAGCCTAGGGTTTGGAACACAGATACTGTGTGATGAAAGCCACCAGAAGGTCTACAGAGTCATAAGCCCAGCTTGCAAGACTAAACCTAGAAGTATTACTGATATGCTTAAATGGTGTCCCCCCCCGCGGACCTATGAGGGACCGACTGCACATGAGGATAACAAGCGCATGCTCAGAATCTTTCCTGCTTAACAAATCTGAACACATCTAAAACAAACTTCAGAAAGGTCATGGAGATTAAACTTACATCAGATAACCTGTAGAGTTTCATGGTTCTTTGTAGTGTCATGTTTCTGCTGAGATGGGAAAATTTCACTTCAACAAGCTTCCTGGGATTTAGAGAGCGATGCCAATACCTACAAAAACATGCGTTGAAACAGTGCAAATTAAAACGTTAAAAACGTTGATGCTAATTGTTACCTAGCATCTGTCAGTACTCTGGGTGAGGTGTAATGTCAAGGCTGTGTGTCTTTGTACCTGCATGTGGATACAGGTTTGGGCAGCACCACCCCAGCGGTGTACACGGCCTGGAATATGCCCTCCAGGTTAACCCTTCGTGTAATTTCTCGGATCAGAACCGGAGCAACACGCTTGGAGCGCAACTTTTTGTGCACACATAGGAAGTTGATCTCCACCATCTTCTTTAACCTGACAGCAAGAGAGAATAAAAAAGTGCTAATAGTGGAAGACACACAATATCGTAAAATACAGTCTTCAAAAATCTCTAGATCGAAAAATTATCCAGCATCTTTCAAGCAACCCAGATTTGGTTTGTCACTGAAGCAGCTGGGAGAAATACCATATGTATCTCCTTTGAGAAAAGACATCATAATAGTTACTCTTTATGCTTTCAGCCATGTTATTACATTGTATTACATTACATTATAATGTGTTGATAATACAGTGGCATCAATGAAAAATCTCCAGTTACTACTTCATTTATTAAAATACTACGTAACAAACATGAGAACAAAGTGATCTATCGAGCTAAAAAAAAATGGCCTAAAGAAACAGCTGGCTTTAGCAAAGTAGCACAGAGAACCTATGGAGCACAACTAAATGAAACCATAAGATTTGCAGAAACTCTGACTTTGAATGTTCAGCAGTGAAACTCACGTGTCGTAGATGTGAATGTCTGCAGGAATGGCGCTGATGAAGCCCACTAGTTTCTTATTGGATGAGACCCGCACACCACAGTGCCAGTGGGGCAGCCAGCCAGGTGGACGCAATGCCCTTACAGAGACAGAAGAGAGACAGGAAACAGAAGATCAGCTGTTAAGAATATCATTGTCATCTCACATCAAACCCCACCTGCGTGTATACGACAGGTACACATTGGCCAATCTGCTGAAAATGACTCCATCACTTTATATTAGCATCGCATGCTTTTGAAATTGACTTTCTGCTTGATGTTGTGACCAATGAGGGACACAATATGCTATTTATAGTGCAGATCTATATGCTGACAGGCAGCTGAAAACGAGACGAGATAAAATGATAAAACAGGAATTGCAACGAGAAAGGAGATCAATGCTTATTTGTTTAACCCAAAGCCCAACTCACTATAGAAGCCCATTATTCTTATTTTACATACAGTACTTTGATATCTATCCAATGCCTTCTTACCTTTCAAACAGAAACAAAGCTATTAAAGACATTAAAGACAAAAAGAAAAGGACTGAAAAGGCTGGGATTACACCACACAACTTTTACCCCGATTTTAGCCTCGTTTCTCAGTCTGGCTGAGTCTGAGCTGGTTGGCTCTAGTCTGCAGATGTTTGGGTCAGTCGGAGTCGACAGCTGGAGAGAGTCGAGTTGTGTGTGAGGGGCACAGACTCAAATTTTTGGCTTCCCAATCGCGTTTCAGATCAGTCTGAGTTGATCAAACGTTTGATTTTTTTGACCCGACTGAGTGTAATCTACTGTAAACTGATCAACGACTTAATCTGAACGGATTCCTGCAACAGCCAATGAAAACAGCGTGTGAAAGAAAAAATGTGCATGTAAATAAAGAAAAATGGTGAAAATCACTCACATGTGGAGCGAAGCGAATGACCACATTTTTAAATCCATGATTCTCACTTAAACATGTTTACCTGCTGCTTCTTTACTGCATCAGCACAAACAGCAGAGAAAACAGCAGCAACAGCTCAAACTTTATTTGGGTCTCCTAGTAATGGAAGAACGCAAGAGTTCGAGACAATTCAGTGAGCTCTATTCGGTTCAGCAACAGCTTAGCAGTGTGTGATCCCTAACCGTTTAGTGTCTGATCCTTGATATTTCAGTCGGCCAAAAAAATCAGTCGATAGTGTGAGATACACAGTCTTTTATACTCTGTTCAGACTTTAAAAGTCGTGTAGTGAACCCAAAGCTTTAGATGTGCTATGCTGAACCACATTTCTCTTACCATTTGAGAAAATCAGGAGAGTAGTCAAATCTAAACATGTTGTCATCATCTTCAACATAATTCTCATTCAGCAATGTGTACAGCTCCTTCAGCTGCAAGAGGGGTGGGAAGAGAACATATGAGAAGAGAAAAAAATAGATATTTCCATATAAAAATAACTACAGTGCAGAAATAGTCTATTTATTGTGTACTTAAACATGCACTTTATTTATAAATAGATGTATGAACATTTATGGATCATCCTACTGAATTGGTTCAGACTATTGTATATTGTATATTATATATTGACTAATTCAATAGAATGGCCCATGTACTTTATAAAGCCATGAATCATCTGCATACACATTTACATACGACATCACCACCCTCTAACAAGCAGATGATACATGAGCTGCTCTCATTCACACACACATGTATGCTTACCACTTCAGCATTGCTGAGATCCAGCGTGTCCCACATAAAGCCTTGTGGGAGGGAATATGGCTCCTGTCTGACGTTCTCCTTATCCGGCTCAATCGGCCCATGAGTAGTCACAACCTCATCTGTAAAAAAACAAAAGAACTGCTTAGTGGACTGATATAGGACACTTGCATCCCACTGGGTTTGAGCAGTTTTAAATTTAGTAGTCTAAATAAAGTAGTTAAATTTCAGGAGTAATTCTAGTATTAAAAGCAAAAGTTTGGCAAAATTTAATCTTTAATTAAACCACCTCTTAACCTTGTTTTCTAACATAGTATAAAGCTACAAAGCTGAAAACATTTCCTCTTCAGACTCACCTGGAACACTACCACAGGTTTCAACTAGGCATTACTGTGAAACTGTGCAAAGGTTATAGCCGTATTCAGTGTGCCGTCGATGAACGACACAATGACAGTTTAGTAATCTGCACACAGAATTTCTGAGCAGAAATGAAGAATGAAGAGTTCAGTGAACTTGATGCCATCAGTCACCTGTACAACTGCAGTTTGGAATACAGAGGTAAGGGAGGTTCGTAGTGCACGTTTTGCAGACAGGCTACATAGGCTACACTCACACAGCAGGTAAAAGTGGCCCGAATCTGATTTTCTCACCAAATCCCATTTTTGAGTTTGGCTGTTCACTTTATCTTTTAAATGTGATCTGTATGCGACATCAGTCTGAACAGATCAGCTCCTAATCCCGCAAGTACAAAAGATCAGTGCTTCACGTTGCTTCACGTGGCTCATCCAGAGGTAAACAATCACGACTGCCAACGAACGCCAGTTGCTCCCTGAGAGCTCAGCTTCATCTTCACCAGCATCAAAGGAGCCATCATGAAGCTTCACTGACCGACAGCTGGGCTCATCACCCAGAACGTGTTTGAGCTCACACAGACACACACATGACATCTGTGTCACATATGAAGAAAAAGATCAGATTTGGGCCACTTTACCTGCTGTGTGAACACAGTCTTATGTCCAGTTGTTTTCAATGAGAGAGATTCATTGTGTGTCCTGTTTTCCAGCCATGGGCAGCTCATGTATTATGTGTCCTGCATAGTTTTCTTTTAGGCAGTGCTTCAGGCACCATGAGCTGAACAAAATTCAATTCGAAGTGGTCAAGCAGCCACAGGCATTTTTTGACACTGACCAGCCAGATCAAAGGTAAGCAGGTCTTTAGTGACAGTTTTCAGTAGTTTTAGTCCATATTCAGTATTCAGCAACACTACCTTGATATAAACAATAAGCAGCCTTTTTTAAGTTTAGCTTCTTTTTGCTAGCAGAACCTCAGTTGGAAGGGGAAAGTGCCAAAGTTTTCCACCTAACATATTGAAACGTTACCAGCGGCTGTGCCAGGAGCAGTGCTGAAAAATGCAGAGTGAACGGCTAAGAAAAATGACTGTGCAGAAAACCTGCAATGCAAACCCCCCCTTAAGTGTAACTCACTAAGTTTTGGGACGGGCTGGGTGTCCCAGAACTGGTACTTGTGCTTAGTGGCCTCATCTATGCTCTTGGCAGGTCCTTGACAGGTGGACAGCAGCTCCATCGCCCTCTGAATGTCCTGCAGCTTCTGCATGGGAATGGCTGGATTCTGAGAAGAGGAGAAATATGTCAGTATGTTTGCATGTATGCAGATTGCATTTGCAATTTAACTTTTCATATAAACACGAGTCATTTGTGAAAAAAATAAAATAAATTTCATGAAGAAAAAGCAAAGCCAAAGTGAAGCTTGGATTTTCTTTTCTCTATTAGCTTTTCCTTTTTAGATACGGCCATGAAATACCAGAATAATATAAATAGCTGTTCTTAACTTATTTTTATTTTTGTCACAAATGACTCACATGACTGTAAGAAAAATTACATTGCAAATGTAAGCATTTCATTTCTTTTTCAATTTAGGCAGGATATTTGGAAAAAGAAATGGCAAAAAGGGTTTGCCTTATATTTTATTATTTTTTTAGCCGAATTTGCCTCCCATACGGACAGCCACTGATGTTCTGCCTCAAATATTACTAAATGAAAGCTAAATTAACATCAAATCTTCACCATACTTAGATTTATGTCTGTGTCCACACTAACACAAAACAGATTAACTGAATAAAAAATTAATAAAACTTACAATAATTCATCTGTGTTAAATTTTACTTTTCACCTGTCACACCGTACACCGATCAGGCATTGGTGGACTATCCTCAGTCCAGCAGTGACACTGAGGCCTTTAAAAACTCCAGCAGCACTGCTGTGTCTGATCCACTCAGACCAGCACAACACACACTAACACAACACCACCACGTCAGTGTTACTGCAGTGCTGAGAATGACCCACCACCCCAATAGTACCTGCTCTGTGAGGGTCCATGGGGGTCCTGACCACTGAAGAACAGGGTAAAAGGGGGCTAACAAAGTATCAGAGAAACAGATGGACTACAGTCTGTAACTGTAGAACTACAAAGTGCACCTATATAGTAAGTGGAGCTGATAAAATGGACAATGAGCGTAGAAACAAGGAGGTGGTCATAATGTTATGCCTGATCGGTGTATTTAGCCATAAGATTATCAGTGTCATATTAAGTGATGTGTTGCTAAAGCCTAAGTGACTTTATTTAAGCCTTCAGGGGAGCAGGAAGTTCAAAAGCTAACGAATATCATTGTTTATTCTACAATGATAATTTGCCGTTTTCTGCATCCTTAACAAGATGCACAAAGCATGGCATGCCCATCCCGCCATATACATTTTTTTTAGCATATTTACGGAAAAACCAAAAATAACAATAATTTACCATAAAAACTGACATTAGAAGGTATTACCTTGATAACAGGTTATACCTTTGTCTGCAATATTCCACCTCATCACAAATTCAGTATAATGGTGTTGAACGTCTTAGTGTTATCTGGAATAATGTGGTATTTCGGTAAGAGAAATTGACACTATGACACTATGGAGGACAAAAAAATGATTTCTTGACACACACACAAAAAAAATCAAATTAGCACTGATTTTGCTGAATTACCCTCCTGGCTCTATTTTTAGACATGTTGTGATTGAAGTGTGTAGAACCGTACAAAACCTTTATCTCCTGAGAATCAGAGGCGGAATCGGACTTGGTTCCTCCTGAGCTGGGTTTTTCTTTCTTTCTCTTCTGTTTCTTCTTTTTCTTCTTTGCACCAAGGTCTCCACCAGGACTCCTTTACAAAACCACAACATTTTTGGATCAGGTAGGAACCACATGGACAGAAGTATTACAGTTCATTCTGGACAGCTGGACTTCAACACTGCATGAGTGACTTATCCTTCATTGTTTACTGTGAAAACCTTCAATTTAGTACAATGTCTGCATAATTAAACAGCTAAGATGTAAACACAGTCATTCCGAGTGGGTCGATGTGAAATGCTTTGTTCTAGGGAAACGTTTAGAGACAGAATTGTTCCCAATGAGGGTGATAGGAACCAGACTGTCTATAATGCTCCTAAAGGCTACCTCGCAAAGCTTTATATGAAATTATTATGAATACATGCGACATTATGTTACAATAGACAAAGTTTTGGCCTGTAACACCGTTTCTAGAATACATTCACGATAGAGAGGTACATACAGGGCACTGTAAGGCCCAATCCCATTTCACCCCTTGCCCCTACCACTTAGCCCTTAGCCCTCTGTTCTGCACGTTCACGTCCAGGGGTCCCAATCACGTCCAGTTGTCCCAATTTTTGTTGAGATAGAGGGGTAGGGTGAAGTGTTGGGGCTACATGGCCCTCCAAATGGAGGTTTTTCACTCCAAACAGAGTGTTATGAGAAAAAAAGAAAAACCGGCAAGACGGCTGAACAAGAGACCAAACAAACTCACAAATGTGAGAATTTTCTCAGTTAAAAAATTACAATAACCACTGTATTATCTTAGTTTAATGACGTTTCAGTGTATTATGGTCATTTTTTTCACAACAAGCATAAAAAAAATCGCTAATAGCATGCTAGTCTCTGTAACTAGTTAGCTAACTTTCCCGTTCCACCTTAAATAGTCCAGCAATTCTGACACCTGAAGCACCAGAATGTAACTGCTGCACCATTTAAGGTGGAACGGGAAAATTTGAAAGAGAAGCTGATGAATACCTGACTTCAGCTTCGTATCACTGAAGAATTAAGGGTGGGTGATAATGAATAATTGCCCCCCCCCCTCTTTGAAGGCATATGATGTCCTAAATGTAACTAAAGCCCAGCAGTGAGGAGCTGAACTTCTCCCTTCTCTGCTATCACTGAAGACGGGCCGGGTCGCCTGCAGAGCAGTGCTAATAGCCTGTTAATGAAGTTTTTTTTTATTTATTATTTTTTTTTTATTTGAGGGTCCCATTTCGTAGGGCAGTATTTCAACCACTACCCCTTATAACTCGAAAACAAGGGGTAGGGGTAAAAAGAAGTAATAAAATGGCCATATTTGTGTTGTAGTTCCCATCACCACCATTGTAGAAAAATCTTTTAGAGCATTCAATACGTTTCTCAACGAACTACTTCACACCAAACCACTCTGAAAGACTTTGTTGACGGGTCAATGACCGAATTATGCAGAAAGATCTGTGGCACTGCCCTTTAATCCTGCTCCACAGCACTGCACAGTCTCAAATATTCCACAGTCCAGCACACCTGATCCAGCTCATGAAGGGCTCCATAATCTGAAGAGCAGGATCAGGTGTGTTGGTTCAAGGAATACTTGAAAACACGCAGTGCTCTGGGTTGCCAGGAGCAGGACAAAGGGCCGTGATTCCAAACCCTTGGGCCGTATTACAGAAACCTCCTATCTTTTGGTCAAGTCAAGGTCTGACCAGGTCAATATAAGATTTTTCATAAATTTGTACCACAAATCTTAATTTAGGAAACATATCTTACAGAAACTTACTTAATCTCAAGTTATACAACAGTTAGTTCCGGCCACGCAAGCTGATTGGTTGAGAAGCGTTCTAACTGTGCTGCTATTTCGCCATAACATCACGGTTTTTTCACACTGTATCACTCTGCTGAGATGATGTTGCTAAGCAACGAGTCTGACAGCTGTAGGAGACGCTCAAACCATTTGAACGTTTTTACTTCTTACTTTGCCACAAACAGAAAATTTACACTTTTAAGATCACATTTGACCGACAGCCGATTTGGTCAGACTCTGAAGATGAGACGACACTAAATTCCCAAACTGTCATCACCACTGAGCAGCTTTTCAGTCGGCAGCTGTGACAGAAGAACAGCTAAACAACCTGGAATCAGCCAGAAATTAACCCAATACCATTCGCCAAACGTGTAGTCTGATCTTCAGAGTCTGACCAAATCAGACTGAGCCATAAAACTGCTGTAATAAAAAACAAAAAAACTGCTCAGTGGTGATGAGAGTTCGGGAATTTAGTGTAAGGAGCTGAAGAATTAACTGCTGTCTGTGCAGCGAGTGGACGGAGTTTGTTACTATGATGTAGCAACGAGCTGCTCGTTAAGGAACTATAATTTGGCGGAAGGAACTGCGAACATTAAAAACATATCAAACGCAGCGTTCGCGGCTTATTTATTTAACTGTTGTATAAAAGCAATAGAACACTTGAGGTTGTGTGTTATCACCAATAACATCATGGCTGTGATGATCTACGGAGACCAAATCACAGCCGTGATGTTATTTCGCGATAACACACTCCCTCTCGTGTTCTATTGCTTAATTAGGAAATCGTAAACTACTTGATGAAGTCAATAATCAACAGTTATGTCTGTAACCAAGCAACAGACACATAGCTGAAACATAAAAACGTAATCAAAATAGCAAAGAATGTAAACTAGACGGCTACCAATGTAACAAAAAACTAAAGTGCGATCAACTGGAAGTTCGAAAAAACCAAAAAGTTTGTCTGTGTGTCACTTCCCAGGTTCAGTCTCCATTTTCCAAAGCTTTAGCTGGTGCAGAGCAGCACTAACGTTACTCATCCTAATAAACACGTGTTCAACTGAGTCTCCCCATTACTCACCACCATCACTGTCTTATTAGACAAGTATTCACCCACATTAACACATAAGAGGCAAGAGTGGAGAACATGTTTGTTTTCAGTGACTGGGATTTTCTGAACAGCAGATTTAGGAAAATCTTGTTATGCTGCCTGAAAACACCGGCCCAGTCGCATTTCTTATTTTTACCCCTATCCCTTGTTTTTGTGTGTCACCTTGCCCCTCAGAACTCAGTCACAATGGCCAAAGTGGTTGAAATCTTCCCTATGAAATGGGCCCCTCAAATAAAGAGCATTACTTCATTAACAGCTACAAGCGCTGCTCTGTAGCGACCCTGCCAGTCTGCAGTGATAGCAGAGGAGGGTAAAGTTCAGCTCCTCACTGCTGGGCTTTAGTTACATTTAGGGCACCATATGATTTCAAAGAGGGGGGATTTGAAAATGATTCATTATCACCCACCATTAGTTCTTTGGTGATATGAAGCTGAAGTCAGTTTTTTTCCTCCAGCTTCTCTTTCGAATGTTCTCGTTCCACTTTAAATGGAGCAGCAGTCACATTCTGGCGCTTCAGGCGTCAGAACTGCTGGACTATTTAAGGTGGAACGGGAAATTCAGCTAGCTAGCTACCGAGACATTAGCATAGTACTAGCGTTTTTTTATGCTTGTTATAAAGAAAGGGACCATAATACATTGAAACGACATTAAACTAAGATAAAACAATGGTTACCATAATTTTTTAACTGAGAAAATTCTGACATTTGTGGGTTTATTTGGTCTCCTGCGTAGCCATCTCGCCAGCTTTTCTTTTTTTCCTCATAACGTTCAGTTTGGAGTGTTGCCTCTGAAAAACCTCCCTTTGGAGGGCCATGTAGCCCCAACACTTCGCCCTACCCCTCAATCACAACAACAATCGGGACACCCTACCGCTAGACATGAACGCACAAAACGGAGGGCTAAGGGCTGAGTTATAGGGGCAAGGGGTGAAATGGGACTGGGCCAGTATCACTGTATTTTCAGTAGAATGGCAAAGAATAGAAACAAAAGGTTAAAACAGAAGTTAAGACACAGCTGGAATCCTAGGCCCAATCCCATTTCTTATTTTTATGCCTACTGCTTGTTTTTGAGTGACTGAGTTACAAGGGGTAGTGATTGAAATGTTCCCCTATGAAATAGAACAACTCTCAAATAAAGAGCATTACTTCATTAACAGGCTATTAGCGCTGCTCTGTAGGCGACCCTGCCAGTCTGCAGTGACAGCAGAGGAGGGTAAAGTTCAGCTCCTCACTGCTGGGCTTTAGTTACATTTAGGGAGTCATAGGCCTTCAAAGAGGGGGGGCAGTTATTTATTATCACCCACCACTAATTCTTTGGTGATATGAAGCTGAAGTCAGATATTTGCCAGCTTCTCGTTCAACTTCCCGTTCCACCTTAAATGAACCATTTAAGGTGGAACGGTAAATTTAGCTAGCTAGCTACCGAGACATTAGCATACTATTAGTGATTTACAATGCTTGTCATGAAGAAAACGACCATAATACATTGAAACGATATAAAAGTATGACAAAACTATGGTTATCGTATTTTTACGATATTTTTGGGTTTCTTTGGTCGCTTGCTGGTTTTATTTTTTTCTCATAACACTCCGATTGGATTGTGCCTCCGAAAAACATACGTTTAGAGGGCCATGTAGCCCCAACACTTCGCCCCAAACGGAGGGGGAAGGGCTAAGTGGTAGGGGCGAGGGGTGAAATGGGATTGGGCCCTAACGTTAGGACAGTACTTAGGACAGTACTTGTCTAGTTAGGATGCTTCTCTGATACCACAACATTATGAACTTACAATCTGTTGTTCTGTAATAGCCGCTGTCCTAAACTCAGCCCTGACTCAAGAGGTCGTGATGACTAAAAAGATAAGATTTCAGAGTTAGGATGCTTCTGTAACACAGCCCCTGGTCCTGGAGGCCCAATGCCCTGCACAATTTAGTGCCTTCCCTGATTTACACACACACTTCAGCTCAGTACAGGGTTGTTGATGAGCTGATTAGTTGCATCAGACGTGTTGGAAGCATGTAAGTCACTAAAAAGTGCGGTGTGCCTTCAGGACCAGGTTTGGGAAAATGGTTTAGGAGCTATTCCTGTCTGTTACAGCTTGACTAGAACGGGCAGCGGTGACGAGTCCAGCCAAGCCAGCAAACCAAGAATCTGAGACAATGACACAGTAAGGTAAGTACTGGGAGCAGTTTAATAGCATGTTTAGGCTTCATAGGAAACTGAAGAGCGCTAGTCTGCCTAACAACAGTGGACCTGCATTTTGGTAACTGGCCTGCCATCACCGTTAGCTTGTTAGCGTCAACATTAAGTGTGGCATTAGGACGCTTATGAATTTTATAGCTAGCCAGCTTACTTTCTCTGGTCATGCAGCAACGTTAGCAGATTCATAGTTTCTGGTGACCACCTAGTTACAATAAGCGGTTGCTACGTGCGTTGGCTAGCTGGCTAGCTAGGTTAGCCTAGCCCTCTAATAAATGGTGTAGTTCAGTTAACCGTAGCCTAAAAATATAACAGAATTATTCTGGAAATACCGCTTTAAGTCTTTGCTGGATAAACACGACCACTGCTTTATCCACAGCTAAGCCTTTCATTCAAACGACGAGGCTGAAGTTGGCTTCCAAAGAATTCTCCGTTCCACCTTAAATGCCGCAGCAGTTACAGTGCCTTCTGTTCAGGCGCCGACTGTAACTGCTGCACCGCTTAAGGTGGGATGAACACCGGAATACGGAGCTAACTTGATGTTATTCGGACGTGGCTCGTTGCTGTAGCATAGCCAGGTTAGGTTTGCGAAAAAGCATCCGAAAAACGTGACTACGTCTTTAAAAAGTGGTACCATCCTACGTGGACAGTCGCACAAAATCCGCACTGACCAGAGCTTAACGCTCCCCGCGGATACCGCAGGAGAAGCACTGCACAGCCGCGAATCGGTCATTGTTGACAGCTAACGTTGCCACCCTCTGACTGAGTTAGCACTCGCTGGCTAAGCTAATCCAGCTAGCCTCCGTGCTAAGTGAGCGCTGCTGGCGACCCCGGGCTGACAGCCACAACCGAAAAAGAGTTGAGTTTCGTGCCGTTTTCCGAGAAAGGGTTACCCTTGCATGTGCTCATTTTCCTCCTCGTTGTCTCCGTCGATGCCGCAGGTGTCCTGGTCGTCCAGCTCCAGGCTCTGCTGGCTGGCCGCGGACTCGCTGTCTTCCGCCATCACGGAGGGACAGAGGGGCTCTGGCTCTGACTGCGCTAGCTTAGCCGGGAGGCTAACCGCAGAAACATCTCCACTGGAGGCGGAGAAAACGGCGCCCCCAACGGCGGATTTCATTTATAATTTATTATTAATTTCATTTAATTTAAGTTTTTATATATTTATTTTTTGCATATATATCTGCACATCACGAAAAACCAAAATGTGCTCACTTTTTCAAAATAAAATCTGATGTTGATGTAGTAAACATGCTGAAGTTTCAAAGCACCATCCACTCCTCAGCCCATGAACTCCTCTGAAAATATTCAACACGTCATATTTTTATATCGTAATAAACAAAGAGCTTAAACGTATGCTAATTTACATTACTATATCTAAAACTGACAAATTTTAGGGTCATTCATGAGATCAAGGTCATTAATGGGACATCATTACAAAAGCTATGATACATATTACATTGATTAATGTGTAATTTTACACATCACATACATTTTATATGCAAGCCCTGTGTCATCAACAGAAATGTTTGTGTTTCAGAAAGAACTTTTCTAAAACACAGAAAATGTTTACTTTTTTTGTTTGAGTCTGTTATGTTGATAAGTTGTAACGGTGCAAATTTAATGAGCTTAATTCCAAAGACCAGTGCACTGGACAGTAAAATACACTGAAATCACTAAAAACTATATTATGTCCAAATTCATAGAATATCATCTACTGTCACTTTTAAATAAATGCAAGATTCTACGTTTGTTTTGGGTAGCAAGATTCTCTCTATCCAAAACAATCAACGGATCTACCATTGACTTTTTTCCCTATTGCCATAAAAATCTCTGTAAACCGTAAGAAAAGTGCATTTCCTGAAGAAAATACACAGTGATTGTGCAGCTTAAGCTTCCTAATGTTGCTATGGTATTCCATGTGGATGGTAGGGTGTTGCTAAGTGGTTGCTATGGTATCCCAGGTGGTTGCTGAGGTGTTTATAGATGATTACTGTGGTTTTCCTGGTGGTTGCTAGGGTGTTGATAGGTGGTTTATGATGTATCCCAGGTGGTTGATAGGGTGTTGCTATGGTATTCCAGGTGGTCGGTAGACATTTGCATGGTGTTGGCTAAGGTATTGTAGATGGTTGCTATGGTGTTGCTAGGTGGTTGATGATTTATCCCAGGTGGTTGCTAGGGTGTTGCTATGGTATTCCAGGTGGTTGGTAGGGTTTCGCATGGTGTTTGCTAAGGTACTCCAGATGGTTGCTATGGTGTTCGTAGGTGGCTGCTGTGCAATCCCAGGTGGTGTTCCAGGTGACTGCAAAGGTGTTGCTATGGTATTCCAGGTGGTCGGTAGGGTTTTGCATGGTGTTTGCTAAGGTATTCTAGATGACTGCTATGGTGTTGGTACGTGGTTGCTGTGCAATCCTAGGTGGTGTTCCAGGTGATTGCTACGGTGTTGCTATGGTATTCCAGGTGGTTGGTAGAGTTTCGCATGGTGTTTGCTAAGGTATTCTAGATGGTTGCTATGGTATTGGTAGGTGGTTGCTGTACATTCCCAGGTGGTGTTCCAGGTGACTGCAAAGGTGTTGCTATGGTATTCCAGGTAGTCGCTAGAGTTTTGCATGGTGTTTGCTAAGGTATTCTAGATGGTTGATATGGTGTTGGTAGGTGGCTGCTGTGCAATCCTAGGTGGTATTCCAGGTGATTGCTAGAGTATTGCTAGATCCCTTGCTAAGCTATCCAATATTATTAACTGGATGTTACCAATGGGGTTGTATGATCACAATACAAGTTGAGTGCACAAACATTTTCCCTCCATTCATTCGTAATGGGAAAAATATCATTTAACAATCACTGCATGAAAACCATAGGGCTGATCAAAAAGCTGTAGAGGTACACCATTCCCAATCAGCTGAACCCTCCAGATATGCAATGGTGTTGATGTCTTGAAAATCACTAATTAAGCCTCCAGACAGTTTCACACTGTGAAAAAAGTGGTTTTAATAAAAGGTCAGGCTCCGTTTGATTTTTTAGATTTTTAATGGATAATAGGCCTTAATTACAATACAAGCAAGTTCAGACATTCAAAATAGTGTGGTGGAGAGTGATGTACATACTGACTCCAAAGTGGTCTCTCCCAGTTATAAATGCTATCAAACACAGCTTTAATATTCATACAGCTTCATATACACTCCATTTGGTTAGACAACAGCTACATCCATGAGAGGCGTAGCATGTCTACAGAAGACAAACGCAATCATATACACTCCCAATCACTCAGAGAAACGCTCTGAAATACACACCTGCACTCACAACCGGAGAAGTATATACACATGTAGACAGAGCGGAGAAATACACAGGTTTCAGCAGAAACACAGCACTCCTTCAGCTCACGGCCGCTTACATACACGCAACAACAGTGAGCAGGGTTTAAATACCACATTTCAGAAATGACAGTCAGATCCAGGTAAGTGATGTAGGGCTGGAACCGCTTTATTTACGATTATCTATAACGGCCATGAAATCGGTAGGTAGATGTTTTTTTTTTTTTCTTTCTATTTTGCAAGCATGAGCTTTCTGCACTCTGATCTGTTACCATTTACACATGCAGGAGTGAGCTGTCTTATGAGCCACAGGGTGTTTCCTCATGTAGCAGCACAGTCAGAAGCAGTATTTTTCATTCTTAATGTCAGCTTAATGTGTGGTTGTCATGAGGACTTTGCACACTGAGTGAATTCTTATTAAAAAAAAAATGCAATTTTTAACCACTGAAACATTCACTACATGCTGCTTTTTATTAAACATGGGTGTTGGGGTAACAGTACAAAATAATAAATTATAGTAATGTGGCGACTTTAAAAAGTAAATTACGCACTATACATATGCATTTGACAAAAATGGAGACATGAGGTTTTCTTCTTTTATCGTTTTTTCAGTTTTTGACAATTTGAAAATGCCTGTAACGTTGTGTGTAAATTTCATGATGAATGGACCAACAGAAACGGCCCAAAATGAGAAGGAAAAGTCTGGTTCCATTGACTTACATTAAAAGTAAAATATGTTTTTTCCTTCTCCTGTAAAGTTACCATTTTGGAGATACAAGGTTTTGTTCTGACAACAGTGATATTATATATATGTACATATTCACCGATCAGGATAACATTATGACCACCTCCTTGTTTCTACGCTCATTGTCCATTTTATCAGCTCCACTTACTATATAGGTGCACTTTGTAGTTCTACAGTTACAGACTGTAGTCCATCTGTTTCTCTGCATACTTTGTTAGCCCCCTTTTACCCTGTTCTTCAGTGGTCAGAACCCCCATGGACCCTCAAGGAGCAGATACTGTTTGGGTGGTGGATCATTCTCAGCACTGCAGTGACACTGACGTGGTGGTGGTGTGATAGCAGCAGTGCTGCTGCAGTTTTTAAACACTGTGTCCACACACTGTCCACTCTATCAGACACACCTACCCTGTGTTGATGTAAGTTCAGAGACAGCACACTGTTGCTGCAGTTTGTATTGGTCATCCTCTAGTCCTTCACCAGTCGTCACAGGACGCTGTTGGCTGCATATTTTTGGTTGGACTAATCTCAGTCCAGCAGTGACACTGAGGCCTTCAAAAACTCCAGCAGCACTGCTGTGTCTGATCCACTCAGACCAGCGCAACACACACTAACACACCACCACCACCACATCAGTGATACTGCAGTGCTGAAAATGATCCACCACCCAAATAGTACCTGCTCTGTGAGGGTCCTGACAATTGCAGAACAGGGTGAAAGGGAGATAAAGTACGCAGAGAAACTGATGGACTACAGTCTGTAATTGTAGAACCACAAAGTGCACCTATATAGTAAAGTGGACAGATACAAGCACAGGGAGATGTACTTAATGAAGTGGCTGCTCAGTATATATAAACCATGTCTGTCCTTGTACATAACAGACCTGCGCCAGCTTTTTCTACTGGTTACTTTCTCTTGGTCTTTTTGTTTACTGCGACTGGCTATTTCCTTCTGCAAAAATTACTAAAAAGTATTAGGTTTTCCTTTTTCCAGGTAGTAATAAGTAACAATCTCATTCAATTTGGAAGATGTGATTAGTTACTTGTAATGCATTTCTTTTCTTCATGTAATTACAAACACAACACCCAACACTGTTCAACACCCATGCGCAGATGATAAAAACAAAGAATAAATGGATTCATTGAGTGGTAACGAAAAGTAGGCAATGAGACTCAAAAACAGACAACGGGGAACGATCCGTTCTCCTAATAAATGCCATCTCACAACTGTGTATGAAGGTTTTCGAGGCTCTGCTTCAGCTCTGAACACCAAGCAGCAAGATGTGCAAACCATGAGCTACGACATGAAACTCAGACTCAGTGTGAAAAGGCCTTAAGACTTTGTCGCCCCCTTCTGGTGCAAATTGAAACTGTCCTAGATTTACTGAAATTGTTAAATACCAATTTTGATTTATCAATCTTGATTTATCAGTTTTTCCAAATTGCTACTGTCCCAGCCCTAATGTTATGTGATCTGACCAGGAAAATGAAGCGATGGTAGTGAAATCAGCGTTTTATTTGCTTGAGGCACTTTTGCAGCAGTTTTGGAATGAGAAAGCAGAGTGTCCTTTCTTACACAAAGGCAAAAATCAAGCAAAGACAGAAACAACTACTTTTGCTGGATAAAATGGTCACTAAAATATTGCATTTAAACCACAAAGTAGTGAATAAAATGGCAAAAAAGGCATATTAAGCTTCCAAATCTGCAGTATCAAAGCAATGCATAGCTATGGCTTTCTAGTGGGCATTATGGGCCTGCAAGTGTGAAGCACATCAGCTCACAAATAGGTTTTGACTCTATAGGAATTGCCTGTTGATGAAGAAATGGCTCTGTTTTGATTGGTTGAATTGTTTATCAAATAATACAGAAAAAGAGCATTCAACACTAGCATAATAAACTAATATTTAACAAATTATGCAAAGGATACAGAACAAAATCATACAGCATTAGCAAAATTTGATAAACAAACAAAATGCTAGTGCTGTTTGTTTTTTTCATATTATTTAATGGTAGTAATATAAAGATCAGGCAGCACCAGCATAATCTGCTAAACCAACAATGATGCCAGTGCACTCCAGCACTTTATATGACTCAGATGCATTAAATATGGAAACATTGGAGGGACTGAGAAAATCTTACCATGAAAGACTGAAAACCATCATGGATTTAGAATTACATTAGAATTGCAGACTCAAACATGGAAGACTGTACTTAATACACCTGACCTTTCTCAGCTAAGTGATTGGGTACAATGAATGCCAATGACTACGTGCAGATTTACTGCTATCAAACTGCAGTGCCCATATGCCACCAACCAAAGATCATATTGCTAACCTGAACAGCAGCAGCAGTTCATAAAGCTAGACATCTCACCATCATACAATGGCTCTCTTTTTTTTGCTCAGTATGTATAACAAAAAAAAACCAAACAAACAAACAATAATAAAGGCATAGCTGTTGTGCATAAATGTGTTCAAAGGAGTGCTTTTTCTTGCTTTTGAATTTCAGTTTCTTCATACATAAGCAAGTTCCTGGATCATGAGCTTGGAAGCGCTGCTTGGAGCCTTTTCCCGTAATCAATTCAGGTCGCGATGCTCCCGTTTTCCGCTTTCACAGGTACAACAAAAAATATAGGCAAACCCAAAGCCTGTATTTATACAATAGTTTGGAGAAAAAGCAAATCTACGCAGTTTCCCCCCTTACCTCCAAACACAGTCAACATGCTTGGTATGTGAAGTTTCTTCTTTAGTTTTACAATGGAGCTACAGGGCTAATGATGCTAACACATTAAGCGAGTAACCTAGGCTTGCTTATGTGACAGGACTGCCCAAAGTGTGGCCTGCTGGCCAGTGCTGGCCCACAAGGGACCCCTAGAAGGTTGCCTTCTCACCCAACGAGAGAACATACATTTTCATTTCACTCTTTAGGCTACATGACACTTGGCTTATATAGGCTAACAAGGTAGCTGAATGTTTTGTCTTTTTGGTCCTTAGCCCACCACAAACATTACACTTTCATCACAAATGGTCTTTAATACCCATAATAATGAACAAAAGTACTTCATTCATTGTACAGAGCACTGGATTCCCCAGTACTGTGTCTGTGCTTTACTTGTAGCTCCAGTGAAAAACTAAATAAGCAAACTTTAGACACCAAATATCTATGATCGACTACATTATGGATAATAATAGGGAAACTGTGTAAATCAGATTTTTTGCTAAACTACCGCTTTATAGAAGGCAATTCCCATCGTTAGGACAGGACAGAAGGTAAAGAGTTTGATGGTCTGGGGGTCATTTGAGGTTAAAGGCAAGCAGTGGTCGCTCCTCGCGCTTCTGCCATGGACTCTTCTTGTTCTCGTCCTCGCCGCTGTCGTCAGGTGCAGCCAGGTCGTCCTTGTTCTCAGTCCTGAGGATCAGCTCTTTGTCTCCTCTCTCATCCTCCTCCCCCACCTCCATGGGCTCAGGGAGAGGAGGAGGTGAAGGGAGCGGAGGAGAGGGCAGCAAAGGAGGTGATGGGGTCATTAAAGTCTCTGCCTCTGCCTCCTGACCAGCTCTCTCGGGCAGCAAGGGCTCAAGCGAGTGATCCTCAGGGCTGCAGACTGGAGTGGGGCTGACTTTGGCGTTAGCATTAGCATCGGCATCACTGCTAGATTTAGAGTTCTCCACAAACACCAGCTGCGTAAACGCGACAGCAGGCGACGTGGGCCGGCCTTTTTCTTGACCTCGGCCCTTGCGGCCTGGCGTGAGGTCACTCATGTCCACGCCAGAGTCCAGGCTAGCATCATTGCTTCCTGCACAACTAGCATTGTGCCCTGCCTTCTGCAGATCGATATAGGAATGGCGGATATGGGCGTTTGAGCGTCCATCCAATGACACAAACCAGGCTCGAGGGTGTGGGAGGGGCTTCCCACCCCTCAGCTCCATAAGTGTCTTTTCGGCCAATAGCTGATCCTCTCCGTTCATTTGTACCACCCCTAACCCCGCCTGACTGAGCGAGTTGGGGATGGACAGAGCTTCGGGCAGCGCTGCAGTCTGTAATGTCCACTCCTCTGCTGGCCCGGGCCCTCCCCCATCCCCTCCTGCTCCCTCTCTCCGCTCCTCCAGCCCTCCCTCTTTGTCCCCTTGCCCCGCCTCCCCCTGGGACTGATGGGATGCGTTAAGCTCCGCGCGGATGCTCTCCAGCTCACTCTGTTCATCCGACTGGAGCAGAAGTGCCTGGCCTGACAGGGGGTGCGTCCCAGGCAGTCGCATGTAGTGGGCAGGGATTAGCAGGGTGGGGCGAGCTTTTTGATAGGTGGCTCCGCCCTGGCTTACCTGGAGTTCAGAGGTGCAGCACAGCAGAGCTCCCGGGCGTGGGAAAGCAGCAGGACGCTCCAGATGATCCACTGACCGTGAGAGCAAGTAGTCAGCTGGCCTGCGCTCTATCATGCCCAGCTCTCTCTCAGGGGAAACGGCGGGGCTTGTGGGCGCGGCCACAGGTGTTCCCATGGCAACAGGTGTGGCTGTGACTGGAGAGAGCCGGGGATCGCGTACACTGGCCTTGCTGTCCGAGGACAACCGGCCAGCCGATGCCGTATGGTGCAGCGGATGGGGGGAGGAGGAGGAAACAGAGGTGTGGAGGGGATGAACAGAAGAAGAGATGATGGAGGTGTAGCTCCGTCGGTATTCGCCGCGAGTCGCTGGGGAGTCGTAGCCCTCTGAAGCCGATTTTAGGGCAAACGTCTCAGCTGAACGCCGGTAAGCATTGCTGGTGGAGCCGCGGCTCCGAAGCTCGTCCTGAGATGCTACCGTCTCGTTGGTAGACGAATTGTAGGGGCGAGGTTTCAGCATGGGCGTGTGCAGGTCTGGCTCTGCCCCTACTTGGTCCAGGTGGGTCTCGCTGATGAGGTTCATGTGCGACATGGATGTGGCCTGGTCCCGTTTGGAGCCGTCTAGAGCCGAGGACAGAGCAAACTTCTGGTGGGCTCGCCGAGAGCGCACACACTTCCTTCTGATAACACAGAAAAATGACATAGAAAAGTGAGATGAAATGCAAGACGGCATCTGACGGTATACCACCTAAACAGCTATAAATGCACTTTAGTGCAATATTTCCCAAGCCAGTCTTCAGGGACCACCAGAGAGAATTTTAGGTTGCCAACACAGCTCCACTAAATATTCATTTACTGATTGCTGGGTTCAGGTGTAATAGGAGCTGGAATAGAGCAAAAATATGGACCACGTGGAGGAGAGTCCCAGAGAACTGGGAAGAAAAACACGATAATAACATGATTATTATAGTTTTTCATTAGAATTTTCATTGGCTTGCATGTTATTATTTATTTTAGTTTTTAATTACAGTTTAGTTTTAGTAAGTAAGAGTGCATCAGTACTTCCAGTTTGTTTTTATTTTCTGAAAACAAAGAGCTATAATTTTTATTTAGTGTAATCTGTGGCTTTGTTTTCAAAATTATGGTTTCCCACTGTTGTGTATCTGCACTTTATGAAGTCTGTGTAATGTCCTGCTGTTGCATCATGAGGCCTGAAGAAAAACCTTTCATTACTATGTATAAACATTACATTGATGAATGACAATAAAGACTACTTTAAAGGCCACTTAAGAAATGAATCTGAACATGAAAACACTGAAAAATGAAACCTTACCGCTCACGGATCAGAGTTCTCATTTCACATTTCGGTCAAGTTAACTGGCCAATAAAAATTACATACTATATTTGTGTGTTAGCTGAATAATGCTTGTGAACTGCTGCTGCGCAAGGAGGGATTTTCTCCCTGAATTCTCTGGCAGCAAACCCCGCCCTCCTTCCCAAAAACAAACAAAAATCATCAAATCTACATGATTCATGTGAATGACATTCTTACGTGAACCCACTTGAATGACACCCCCCCAAACACTGAATTTTGCTACATTTTTTTTCCCCGGGTGGGTGAGTCGGGGTATCTGAATATAAATCAAATAATGCCTTATAAATTCTTAAATCAAATTTGACTGAAATGCCATTCATAATACACACATACCTGCAGTAATACAGCAGAAGGCAGAGGAGGAAGAGCAGGATTAGGGCCATGCCTCCCAGTATGGCTAACAGGAACACAGTGTGGTATGTGCTGATGTCTTTTGCAACCACAGGACCTGTAATGCATGCACACACACAATATTCCAAGTATTAGAAAATGAACATTGGTTTTTCCACTCTTTGATTACAAACTCACATAATGTCACACCAAAGAATTCTACTCTGCATCCATTAATGTCCCGCAGTTCGAAAGCAAAGACCCGCATTATCCCTCACTTCTCCTCTGGATGTGATTCATCCATCCACAAACTGCATTATCCTTTCAGCTGATGGATATAAATAGTAAAATAAACACATCAACAAATACATCTGTCAATATCAGCCATGCTGAAAAGTGCTAATGTGGCAATCTGCCTGTAGGCACCCTGCAATAATGGCTGGATTAGAGGACTCATACTGCAGTGTCATATCAGAGCACAGTTAGGTTATGTTAGGTTTGCTTTCTCATAGTTAGCCAGTCAGATGTGTGGTGTAGATGAGAAGCTAACATCCATAATGTTTCCATGCTTGATTACTAATTCCTCTCTGGCATACGTTTTTGATTGGGGAAAACCATTCAGTGATTCTTCATTGTCTTTTAATAGTATAAATAGAATAGGAGACATACACCCATCAGGCATAACATTATGACCACCTCCTTGTTTCTATGCTCATTGTCCATTTTATCAGCTCCACTTACTACATAGGTGCACTTTGTAGTTCTACAGTTACAGACTGTAGTCCATCTGTTTCTCTGCATACTTTGTTAGCCCCCTTTTACCCTGTTCTTCAGTGGTCAGGACCCCCATGGACCCTCACAGAGCAGGTACTGTTTGGGTGGTGGATCATTCTCAGCACTGCAGTAACCTCTGACGTGGTGGTGGTGTGTTAGTGTGTGTTGCCCTGGTACGAGTGGATCAGACACAGTTTTTAAACACCTCAGTGTCACTGCTGGACTGAGAATAGTCCACCAACACAAACTGTGCAGCAGCAGATGAGCTATCGTTTCTGACTTTACATCTACAAGGTGGACTGACAAGGTAGGAGTGTCTAATAGAGTGGACAGTGAGTGGACACAGTGTTTAAAAACTCCAGCAGCACGGCTGTGTCTGATCCACTCGTACCAGCACAACACACCACCACCACATCAGTGTTACTGCAGTGCTGAGAATGATCCACCACCCAAGTACCTGCTCTGTGAGGGTCCATGGGGGTCCACTGAAGAACAGGGTAAAAGGGGGCTAACAAAGTATGCAGAGAAACAGATGGACTACAGTCTGTAACTGTAGAACTACAAAGTGCACCTATATAGTAAGTGGAGCTGATAAAATGGACAATGAGCATAGAAACAAGGAGGTGGTCATAATGTTATGCCTGATCGGTGAATATAGTTATCATGATCTGCTTTCAATTCAGCATATTTAGACTGCTTTTAAGGCCCCTGCCTCCTGATACTTTGATTATAACTTTGCTTCGCACTTGGGGGATCTGGGGCATTACTCCCTTGGCTCATCCAGTGGTAGATTTGATAAGACAGTCCATGGGCCATAGTATCACTCGTATATCTACACCAAATGAAGCATATTTCCTATTACAACTGAAATATTTGTAAGACTGCACGTGGTATATTTATGCACATGTTCTGGGAATGTCTTAAAGTAGCTGATCTGTGGATTACTGCAGGCTAAAACTCTAAAACTGTTTTGGTAGTGACATGAAAATGTGGGACGGCATTTTCTAGTTTTTTTCCAAGGTAATCTAAAATTTAAATGCATGATAAATCTCAAAAAACAGCACTATTTTCACAAGTTGAAATTGAGGGGTTAGAGTTTGGGATATCCTTATTACTATTTTAATTAATACTTTGGGTTTAAATAGACCAAACCATAATCCTTATCAAAGGTCTGAATACTTAAAAAAAATGGTAACACTTTATTTGGATAGTTCACTTTAAATGCTTTGTAGATACTTAATTTACTTTTAAGTTACATTCAGCTAAATATCTACTAAATTTGTCGTCTTTAACTCTAAACCTGACTCTAATCCTAACCCGAACCATAACCTCAACCCAAAACCTAAACCCAACCCTCACCGTGGTCCAAATCCTAACCCTAAGATAATGTAGAGGGGACTATAGTGAACTATCCAAATAAAATGTGTGTATATATATATATATATAATTTTTTTTTTACTGTGGGGCTGAAACTTGATCGATATAATGGCCCATCAACATCAAAACTACCACTTCATCTACAAAACAGTGTTTCAGGGGTGGTTTTGTTATAACAGCGCTGATTTTTAAATTTCACACAGAGAGAGAGAGAGAGCGAGAGAGAGAGAGAGATTTCCACAGACTGTGTTACCTGTGTTTACAGGAGACATGGCTGCCACCCAGTATCCCAGCTGAGGGGCGAAGTACGTAAGGGTGAGCTCACCTCCTTCTCTCTGTACGTACCCCAAACTGCTCTTCAACCAGGCCCCTACAAATACACACCAGAAAATAAACGACTAGCATTAGCCTTCATGTATCACTGTACGAGAGACATGATGCTGATTTTAAGCAGTTATCTGCTGATACAGTACTATTGGTATCTGATGCACCAGTGTGCTCTGATAGCAACAGAGGAAAACAACTAGACCAAAAGAAATAGTGGACAAAAGAATATCATTGTACTGCAGTTGAGTGTACTGTTAAAAAAAAGTGGCAGAACTGCTAGTAGCTATTGCTACTACTAGCCATGTTTACATGCAGCCTAATAATCTGTTAATAATCCAACTAACAGCTCACTCAGAATAGAATACGTCCAGGTATACACCTCAATCAGACTAGACTAGTCTGATTGAGGCCATTCGGAATACAGTTTCTGATCATGTTCGTCGCGTCATAGTGAAAGTTTGTAACGTTCAACATGGCGGAGCAGAAACTGGTCTGCAGAGGAGACGAAGTTCATGCTCTGATCTTTAAAAGACGGCGGTGGGACGGACGTCCAGCTTATGTGTCTCAGAACACGACGTCTTCCTCTCGGCCTTCTTTAATAAGGACATGTGAAGGACGTCTTCCTGAGTCTGACATCATTTTAAAGCAATCAAAACACAAGCACTGCTCACTGCTGCTCGTCTCACTCTGACTGGACTCATGTGATGCTTGTTGTCATGGTAACGTCTACACTAAGTGGTTCTCTACGCATGCACGTCATTTTGGATTGGATTACTTGCAGTGAGCATGTTATCGGAGAGTGAGATATAAACACCTCAGTTGTAATCTGTAATCGGAATTTATTCAATCAGATTGGCAAAAATCTTTGCATGTAAACACAGTCAGTGACTACTGTATTATAAGGGGAATCTGCTGATTGGCATGATTGGATGCACATGGTTATGAACCTCAGCATCAGCTTTTCCCCATGGTGGAAATTAGAGGGGTGTTTGTTAGCATTAAATAAGTACCAATGATATCAAATCAAATCAGATCACATTTATTGTCACATCACATCTACACAGGTGCAAAGGTGAGTGAAAATATTGATATCCAAATATTGATATGCTCAGGAAAGTCTACTGTTATGTAATTCAACCTAATTTACTGCGATCATGATAAATATCGCCATATCGCTCCCCCCCGACTGGACATTCTCCATTACTGCGCACACTTTATTGTTTTGTTTACAATCATGCAATACATCCCTAAGTTGGTTCTGTTCTTCTTACTGCAACCACTAGATGGCAGTATACCCAGAGGATTATACATACAATGGTCAGTCTTTTTCTGACTGGTTTGTAATTATAGATCAAAGGACAGAAGAGGAGAAGGAAACAGGAGAAACAAAGCTGAAACACTTTGTGTTTGGTAGAGATTGAGTTTGTGGGACAGAAACAGTGAAGGAGAGAGAAAGAGAGGGGGCAGGAGGTTTACAGGAATAACCTGACCAAGCAACCCACTGCTAACAATGGTTGGAAGCAAGCTGCCGCTTCCATTCACTTTTAGCAATTTTTTTTTTTCACTGAACTAAAACTTTAGGGGGCCTTCAGACGACGAAGAAGCAGGATGTGCTTTTAGGGGCGGGTTAATGCAGGGATATAAATAATTAATCAATTAACCATTAACTGACAAATATACTATTGCCTGACCAATACTAACAATGCAGTTTTTTGTTTTTAATAAAAGGTTAATTTTATTTGATTTCCAATAAATGACATGAATAAATGACAGTTATCGGTAGCTCGCTATCTAACTTTCCCGTTCCACCTTAAATAGTCCAGCAGTTCTGACGCCTGAAGCGCCAGAATGTAACAGCTGCTCCATTTAAGGTGGAACGGGAAAATTCGAAAGAGAAGCTGGAGAATATCTGACTTCAGCTTCATATCACTGAAGAATTAGTGGTGGGCGATAATAAATAATTGCCCCCCTCTTTGAAATCATATGATGCCCTAAATGTAACTAAAGCCCAGCAGTGAGGAGCTGAACTTTCCCCTCCTCTGCTGTCACTGCAGACTGGCAGGGTCGCCTAGAGAGCAGCGCTAGTAGCCTGTAAGTCATGTTCTTTTTTTATTTCAGGGTTGTCCCATTTCGTAGGGGAGGATTTCAACCACTACCCCTTGTAACTTAGCTCCAAGGGGCAAAGTGACATGCGAAAACACAGGGGTAGGGGTAAAAATAAGAAGTGGGCCTTGATGTGTGCATATATCAGGTATTTTACAGTAGCTGTAAACACAACTCAGCCAAACACATCCCAGACCCGGAAACATCAGTTTTATAACTGATATTTTGTTGCAACACATCCCTGATTTTTAACTTAACAATTACTAATAACTAATGATGCTGGTTAATGGCCAACAGAATTTGGATCCCTAGCTCTGGCTGTTGGAAAAAAACAAAACAAAACAAACAAACAAAACAAACAAACAAACAAACAAAAACAAACAACAAAAAAAACTACAATTAGCCAAAAAGCCCAAACTAGCTCTTCTTCCAAGTCTATAGGTAACAATGAACAGAAGCTTGCTTGAGAGAATTTGAAAAGGCATCTGAAAGACCCCCCTTAAGTGACACAGCATATTTTGTCCCCTGTGTGTTTCTCTACCACATCCAGAGCTCCTATTGATCGCCACCTGACCTAAACCTACTCAGCAACCTCTCCACACAAACACAAGCGCATACGCACAATGACACTGCACAACACAGCATAATAAAATGCACACAGTCACAACATCGAAATAATTCAGCTGAACTGGCCAGAATAGAGGACACGTGCAACCCTTCCCACACACACATACACATACACACATACACACACACACGCACACATACACACACACACGCACACATACACACACACACGCACACACACACACATCCAGTTTCCCAATCCTAGTCTTACCATTTAAAACATCAAACATGGTCATTCTAATGCATTTGCCTGAGCACACATCTGCCACAACTTCACAGGCTCTTCCCACACTCACACCACGATGTCATCATTCATTAAGGTCAAAACAGCAGCGTCCATAGCATGGACAATCTAATATCCCTTGCTTTGTTGCAACTAAGCTAAGCTTAAGCTTCCAAAACAACCTGTTTTGAATTCCTTGTTTTTGTGAGGACATGAAAACCAGTGCATTTACACAGACTCCCCTATTCAGCCTACAGTAGTTCAGCCCCACCCATTCAACTTGAAATTATAAGGAGTGTTTCAGCCCAGACTCTTTTTGAATGAGGCCCAATTCAGCCAATCGGAAGAGTGGTTGTTATACAGCGTGATTAAAAAAGATTAATCCGATTTCAAAATGATTATTTCACTTGTAAATCATTACAGAACAATGCAGTAAACTGTAAATGAAAAGTCACATGGCGTGAGATCTGGTTATGCTGGTGACCTTTTTCTTGGAAATGTTAGTACCAGCGACGAATGCTCTGAGCTGCTGGAGGTTCACTGCCATACTGGCAGTCAGAAACTCTATGACCCCCTCTTTCAATTGGTGTGTGATTGGTTCCTTGGCGCCTGAGGGTTGTAAAAATATGGCGCTTTGAAATTGGATGAATCTTTTTGAATCACCCAGTATATATCAGTTTTTAGTAACAAAAACAGCCTGTTAACCCTCTACTGTATGCGTTGTGAAAGCAATTAAAAAAAAAAAAAAAGATTTTCTTGCATAAAATAGCCTTAAATATCAAAACATTTTTTTTAAATAATGCATGCAGGGGTCATTTTGGGGTATGCTGCCTTGAGGCAACATTGTGCGACAATGGGAAGAAATGATATAGAGCCATGTTCCCTGAAGTGGCTTGTGGCTGGTCAAATCCATTCCACTGTCACACAATGTTGCTTCTAGGCAATAAACGTATTTCCTCAAATTCTCATAATAAAAAAAATACTGAGGCCACTAAGAGATAGTATGACCAAGAACATGCTTTTTATTGACATACTCAAACTGTTGCCTTTATTGTTAACCCTTTCAATGTCTTTAAATATGGATAATGTTATTGTAAAATGAGGAAAACGAGTCTGTTGCCCTGAGGAAACGTGCAATAGAGGGTTAATTTGTAATTATTAACAGTGATTAGTAGTGAGATGGTATTCCAGTTCATCCAGTATACCAGTTGAAATTCTTCCTCAGGTAGGAGTTTTGACATAACCATTATACAAGTATGCAACAGAAAAAGTGCAAATAACGCAACATACAAACAGTGCAAGCCATGCTAACGCCAGACTCTTTAGCAAAGTCCGAGATTGTTCACATTTCAAATGAAAAGAAAACATAGCATAACCCTTTGAACACCTGCCACTGTCTAGTCCTCTGCATCAAAAGTAGTCCACTTTGGTTTCCAGGCAGCAGACATAAAGGAATGGTCTGTTTTTAGGTTTAGCCTCAGTCTAACATGGACACCAAACCAAATTCCATGATTCTGTTTCCTCTCTTGCCACAAGGGAAGCTGCCTATGTTAGCTGCAGGAGATGAGGCCAAGATCTCAGGGCCGTGGACCAGCTGGTGCTGAAGTGTGAATGACTTATGTTTTCCAAATTCTAGCAATGTCAGACAGCTGGAAGTACGAGTATATGGGACGCAGGTATGATATAAATGACTGTGACCAAGCTGAAGCTGGCTTCTTCTCTGAATTTCCCATTCCACCTTGAATAGTACAGGAGTCACATTCAAGTGTCTGTACAGGTGCCAGAATATACCTGCTGCTTTAAGGCGGAACAGAAAATAGGAAGAAAAAGCTGCAAAATAATAAGCCAACTTCAGCCTTGTAGAAATTCAGAAGTGAAACAACATTTAGCACTGTTTTTGCTGGGCCCATGGAGCTAGTCTTAGAAAACAATACTGACATAGGATTATCTATATATTGTTTTGCACATTAAAAATGTTTAAGATTTACATTGGTTGTTTCTTATTAAAACAGAACGGATGTCCAAGAAAAACAAGCCACTGTTTACAACCCCATTTTTAAAACGGGTACGCTGTGCAAAATGTAAATAAA